GATAAAGATACATTTATTTGTTCAAACATGTGTACATAAGGTGTTAAGTCAGCATTCAAAATGGCATCAACATGTCGTACCTTTGCGGTGTACAAATTAAATTAAAAATAAAATATCAATTACAATAATACTGCATAATCAAATCAAATTAAAGTTAAAGTCAATGTTGCATAATCAGATTAAATGAAAAAAATAATAATATTAAGAAGTAAATCAAAATTTGTCACTTAGGAAGTCCGTCAGATTATAATAACATTTTTCAATTAATAAATTTTTAACCTTCATTTTAAATTCATACAATTCTAATTTTTTTATTGTTAAGGGGATGTTATTGTAAATTCTAGGTGCCATACATAATATACTTTTACTCATAAGAGCTGAATTTGAGGGGGGCATCCGTAGTCTTGAGTAGTCACGTCGGTTGCGACTGACAACATCCTCTAAACGAATAAAAAGTGACGGATTGGCCTTAACAAACAGTACTATTTCTAAAATATATATTGACGGAAATGTTAAAATTTTATGTTTTTTGAAAACTGGCTTACAACTATCAGCCGCTTTCATTCCAAACATTGCTCGTATACAACGTTTCTGCATTTTAAAAATAATTTCTCTGTCAGTAGAATTCCCCCAGAAAATAACGCCGTATCTCAAATTCGACGCCACTAAGCCATGGTACGCCAAGAGCAGAGAATCAACGTTTAGTAGTGGAGCTAACTTGTATAGTGCGTATGCAGAACTACTCAACTTTTTACTTAGGTACTCAATGTGTGTCTTCCAGTTCAGTTGTTTATCTATGAATATTCCTAGAAATTTTGCACTGTCTACTTCAGAGATTGTCATGTTATTGTATATTACATTTATGTCAGGTGCAGATATTATTCTTTGTCGGAATTTCATAACTTGTGTCTTAGAAATATTTATTTTTAAATTATTATTGTCTAACCATGAAATTATTGATGTCAAAGAATTATTAATGTCATTTTCATAAATGTCAGGTCGCTTACATGCTACAGTCAGAGTACTATCGTCCGCAAAAAGAGTCATAGGGTTGTCAGTAGATCGAGGTAGGTCATTAATATAAATAATAAATAATAGTGGGCCCAAGACACTACCTTGTGGTACACCATATTTAACATGACGTTCATTTGATCGATATTCTACTTCCAGTTTCGAGTTATCGTTTAAACGTGTAATGGAAGTATATTGTTTCCTGTTGTCTAAATAAGATTTTATTAGTTGTGATACATTGCCTCGAATACCATATGTCATAAGTTTGTCAATCAGAATGTCATGTTTTACGTGGTCAAATGCTTGAGTCATGTCACAAAATATAGTACACACGGGATTTCTTTTGTTGATATTGGGTATAACGTTGTTCAAGAATTCAAATATAGCCATATTTATGTTTTTGTTTTGCCTAAAGCCATTTTGTTCTTTGCAAAGAATGTGATTTTTTTCTAAATATGAATAGATTTCTTGGTAAATATATTTCTCAAAAATTTTTGACATTATGGGTAGTAATGAAATCGGCCTATAATTTTGTAATAGTAGTTTGTTTTCTTTCTTAAATAAAGGTTTCACTACAGACATTTTAAGATAATCTGGAAATTTTCCTTCACTTATGCACAAATTAATAATATGACTCAAGTGTTTACTAATAATATCTCCTACTGTTTTTATTACTTTTGTTGATATTCCATCATATCCCTCACTTTTCGTATTTCTAAGACTATTTATGATATAATAAATGTCATATGGTAGGCTTGGTGCCATAAACATAGAATTTTGTTGGCTTTGTATATATGAGCTAACATTAGTACCAGATCCAGGAACTGGAGTTATTTTCTCTACAAAATAGTTATTAAATAGTTCAGCTATATTTTTTGGGTCTGTCACTAATTTATTATCTACTTCCACTTCTTGAATATGGTCTTTGGGCTTGTTTATTTTTGAATTGTTTATAATCGACCATGTAGTTTTGGCTTTATTGCAAGATTTTTTTATAGAGTAGTCGTTTTGTGCCCGTTGCGTAAGTCTTATAATTTTTTTAAATAGTTTGGTATATCTAGTGTATATATTTTTGTTGTCAGAAGTCGGTTTAAGCCTGAAATTCCACAAAAGGTGTCTCTTTTTCTTGCTACATGTTTTTATTCCCCGGGATACCCATTTTGTCCTTTTCATAAGTGGTATGGTTATCAATTTGAACGGAAAGCATAAGTCATAGAATAGTCTAAAGTCGTCCATAAAACTATTGAATGCTTTGTTCGAATCCTGCGTATTATATATGTCTGCAAAAGTCAACTGTTTAAGACAGTATCTAAACTTAGTAATGTGCTCCTTACTGAAATCTCTACATTTCTTACGCCAGTATTTGAGAGACGGCAAATTATTCACGGGGACTTGAAGTAGTTGTGCAGTATGATCTGAGAGAGCAAATTCTATCACTTCCGTTCCACAAGTTTTTCTAAAATTATGTGCAAAATTGTCGATACATGTTTTACTTTTTAGTCTAGTTGGTTCTCTAATTGCTAATTTCAGGTTAAAATTCAGTAATAAACATTCAAATTCTAATGTTACATTATTCTTTTTCATTATGTCAATGTTAAAATCACCAGATAATATTATGTTAGTATACTTTTTCTTTTTTGTTACGATTCTTAATAATTGCTCAAGTTTGTGAAAAAATGTATTAATGAATTTGCCATTGGGAACCCTATAAATACATACAATTATTGTTTTTAACTTAATTAATTCCATTGCACAACACTCAATTATGCCGGGTATAGAAAGCTTAGTGACTTCTGGCACCGGTTTCCATTCATAACCTACTTTAACTAAAATGCAAGCACCACCTCTCTTGCAGTCATCTCTACTGTAAATGGATGCTAACTGATAATTAGGTATCGATAAGAAGTTTTCATAACCAGACATAATAAAGTGCTCAGTTATGCAAATGATATCTACATTTTTTTGTTTTTCCGACAGTTCATTTAGACATACCACTAGTTCATCTGTTTTATTTATTAGGCCAGCTATATTTTGATGTAAAATACATAAACAATTCATATTATTACTAGAACTAGTAGGAACGAAAAAAGTCTGAATTATTTTTTGTCGCATACAGATTACAATTATCAGATATGTTAGATACATTCAATATGTCATAGTTTGGGTCAGAATTTCCATTAAATTCAATTAATTCGTTAACAAGATACTTGATATTTTTAAATATATTGTCCATGCCTCGATTGTTAAGGATACCCCTGAATTTAGAAAACATGTTATGGTCATAAGATAATTTACGATTTGAGTCAAATAAGTAAGCATAATTGTGATTTAGAATGTCAAGATATAGTAAATTATTAAAAGTCTCCACTCTCCAATTAAACATATTCGAAAAGTGTTTACATTTGTAGGTAGGCAGGCATAATATTATATTAGTGTGGTCAAGGGGTTGTAACATTTTCCTTAGATTTATAATTACATTGACATAATTATTAGTGGTCAAAAAGTCACTTTGACCAATAAGTATGACGCAGTGGTCCCGAAGTGTGAAGTCTCTTAACTTATGCTCTATGTTCTCTGTCAACTTCTCAAGTCCAGCGTATGGTGTCACGTAATGGATCACTTGTGAGTCTGGAAAATTATTCTCAGCTATTTTTCGTACCTTATTAGTTTTATTACTGCTTATTATACATAATTTACGAGGTGTTTTCCAATTGTTTTCTTGTCCAATTATAGATAAGTCAATGTTATTGATGTCAGTTTGCCGAATGACTTTACATGGGGTTGACGAAGACTTGGCTTTTTTATTTTGACTGTTATTATTAGAACTATTATTGGATTTTCTTCTCTTTTTCCCCTTCGTTTCCATTTTATTTTGTTGTTCTAATACATTTTTCTCTTTAGTTTGTGGGTGTTGATTGCTTAAACTTTTCTTCTATTAGATGAATTATTTCCCACTGAAGACGAAAAATAGATAGTTTTTAGTTGATTCACATTTTTCTCTTTCTGTTCTAATTTGTCCTTTAACTTATAATTTTCGGCTAATAAGTTCTGATAGAATTTAGAAGATATTTACTAAGGAAGGAAAAAGATAACAACCGACCTCATAAAATAGAAATTATTTGTCAGTCGTTAAAAAATAAGATTATGTTTATTGTCAGAACACAAAACAACATATTTTCACTTTCGAAATTTTACGTTCCCACTCATAATAAAAAGGTTACAAGACTTAAAAAGTTACTACTTTATCGTTTTTTACCATATTCAATGGTATGTTGTCATGTGTGTGTTGTAGTGTTCATAAATCAATTCTGAAAGAACATAAGTACTGATAAAAATAGTTTCTGTGCCAAAAAACAAAAACAAAACGCTATCAGGGCAATGAGCATGAAGATAATAAGTATACTGTCACAAAAAAAATCCTCTGCGCATAAAAAATCCATATCACGCGTAAGCTAACAGTATGAAAAATATTTTTTGTGCTACAAAATAAAAACAAAACGTTGTCCGAGCAATGAGCATGCAGAAAATACCTACCTACATATTAGGGCGATTAGTAGCGCGGCAGCAGCGTTTTTGTAATGTGAAGGGACGCATCAGCTGTCACATAGTATGAAATTTTCGGCAGCGCGTCTGTCGCGCGTTTGTCGTTAAAATCGCCTAATTATGTGAAAGCGCTCATACTGTCACAAAAAAATACTCCTGCGCATAAAAAATCCCTTGTCACACATGTATAATGCTAAAATGTAAATATTTCTACGCTACTGGTGGCAGAAGGTGCAGAACCTGTTTGTAATTTTAATATCTTGTTGTTATAGTTGTTGTAATTCATGAAGCCAAGTGAGCTTTACAAGTGTGGTGGCTCGTTGTTCAAAAGTTTAGATAGATATTACATACACTATCGTTATGTGCATGTACAGGTACACACACAAGTAAAGCTCACTCGCCTTCGTGAGTTGCAAGAACTATACCACTTTCTAAGAAATATTTTTGTGATTTGATTTGTCCTCTCCCAGAGAGAAGAAGCGCGAGAAGGAGCGCGACGAGCTGTGGAAGCGGCTGGGCGAGCTGGAGATCAGCCACAAGCGCGGCGCGGGCGCGGCGCCGGCCAAGTGATGCCGCCCCCAAGCCACACATAGAATACTGCGATCCGTTTTATTTCCAGTTATGTATTGATATTTTCTATTCGATTACACTTTTGTTAATGACGTTATTAATTTTTTATACCTCTGATGATTCGTTCGTTCGGGTGTGAGCTCGGGCTGTCGGTGGATTCGGTTCGCTCGCGAGCGCCGGGCCGCGAGGTTCGGCCTCGTGTCGATTTACAAATTACTTTAGTGCTGTCGAAATGTCCGCGTCCCGAATGCACTGTCATTATTGTACTAGTATTTTATATACGTTTACATAGGTCACTAGTTTACTTTAGGGTTTTTTAATATTGTTAAATTGTTTAAATAAGTTAAAAGTTGTATGTATTATTGATGCATGATCGATTGTAACGCATTTCGGATCACCGATAATTGTATTAATCGGGCACCCAGCTTTCGGCTGAATATGATTGTACAAAAATTAATAGGGAATTTGAAGATGTAATTTGTTTAGAAATCGGGCCCGGGGCCGTCCGCCGCGCGGGTCCGTCCGTAGATCGTTGTATGAAATTTTCATTTAAAATTAGACGCTCGATTCAACAATGTAATTTTGTCGTACTATCATTTTGTATAGTTACATAGTGTAAATAGGCATTTATTTATTATAAATTTATAGCAGTGTGATTTTTATACATAGCGGCGGGAGTGGGACACTATTGGGCAATCGGTCGGAGCGAACTGGAGACTATTCTGTGGCACGCGTACAGCTCGGCTAACTGAAGCGTTTCTTTGATCATATTGGAGTAGAACAATGCTAAAAGTAGATATGATAATTTGTAAGGGAATAGTCATTAATTTGTATGATATTACTGTAGCGATTAATTTTTTCTATCATCACTTGTAGAGCGGCCGGCGGCGGCGCCCGGCACTCGAGCGCGACCACCGGCGCATCAGTATGTATGTATGTACACTATGAAGATGTTTGTTATGTAAAATGTATTAACATTGCAAAAATTATATATGATCTTAAATATAAATTACTATTATAGAACACAGTATGAAAATAAAAAAGTTGACTCACATGAATTGAATTTTTTAAGTGTAATGTAAGCGTAGGCGTCCCGCGCGCGGCGCCGCACTCCCGGCTACTTCCCCTAGTGACTACTCAGTTGCGCAACTGCATTGGAAATACACAAGAAATTTTCACATTACTCAGTTTTTCATTTCTCGAAACGGGGTCATGAATGTGGATAGTCATCTGTTTAAGTTAGTTATCCTTGGATGTTTGGGCTTGTTTCATTAAATCTTAGTGTTTCTGGATAAAATTGCACTGTACTACTTAGTACTGCAGTAAAACAAATTATGATGTACCTACTCAATGTCTCGGCCTCTAGCCTAGACATTGAGTAGTGAAAAATAAATGTGTAATAATAGCCCGACAACCTCGAACTCATTAGTAAACATAAGGTGCGTTGAACTGGCGTGTGGGATCGATATGCGCCGGCAACGAACCCAAGTTCAAGTTGGCGGATCGCCATGACTACGGCGCGCAAACACCGTCTACGGTGCTAGAAATACTCTATTACACCACGCCCATTACGACAGTTCTAAGTTGGCAAGGTGCTAGCTAAGTGGTTTTTCTCCTTTTATTTCGATAATCTTGGTGAGTGCTTAGGTCTACTTACGGTCTAAAATGTCCGTTGACCGTTCGAATATTGCTATAAAATAAGAACGTTCTAGGTCGCAATGAGGGTCACCGGCTCTCGGGTGTACAGTAGGCCGCCACCAGTTCCGAAGATGCCTGCAGGACTGGTGGAGTTGATGGAGGGCCTGACTAAAGATGTCCTCAAGAATAATCCTCCAGATGTATACGAGTTTTGTGCAGAACACATGCGCAAGCTGTTGGAAATAAGAGATGGACCCTGTAAGTGAACAAACACACTTTGGGAGATATTTTCGGTTATTCTTTTAAATATAGGTACAATAGTTTGCGTTAAAAATCACTTCTAGTAAAAGTAAGAAAGGTATAATCGAAATGGTGAAGGAAGTGTTCGTTAGTGTCTATATGTAATGTATAATTGTATCTATCGTCAAATCAAAGTGCATGTATCAACTTTGTTAAATATTGGATTCTAATCGCCAATCAAGGTACAATATAATTTATCGTTTTCCAACATCTTATGATTTATTTTTATAATAAGATAACTGTTATATATCTTCAAGATATGATATTTGTTGGCAAAACAGATTTTTAGTGAAATAAATTATTTAAATTTTGTAACGAAATAATATCTTCGGTTTTAGCAACAAAGAAAAGTCTGAGTTTGGAACGTAAAATATCTAAGGCTCAAGAAAAGGTAAGAAAAAGAGCAGAACAACGCTGGCAAAAATTCGATGAACTTCAGTTACAAGAGACAAAGATAGAAAAGAATGAAAACCAAACTTCAGATCAGAAAATACCTGCAGCAATCGATGATAACATCGAAAGTATTATCAAACCAGTACATCACAATGATTTGACTCAAGCTTCTGAAATCGAAATATCTTGCGAACCAGATAGTACCGAAAAACAAAAATTGCAAAATGATGCGGAACCAATTTTGGTAGTACCTACTGTAGAAGGCGAAAATGAAAAAGTAGCTGAACCAACTGTAGAAGGCAACCAAGAAGTTAAAGAAACAAAGTCCAATTCTCATATTCAACTTATACCTGTATTAACTGACTTTGAAAATACGGACTTGAGCCAAACTCAAGAGGATGATTGTGAGTCGAACATTGCGGCACCCGATTCAAATACAAAAGATTTACAAAATGTCAAAGAAGATAAATTGATTGAAAATATTGAGGTTGCTGATGTTAATAAAAATGCTCCTATTGTCATATCTGATGTTGCTGAAGTTGATAAACATGCTTCTATTGTCTCTACTGATGTTGCTGAAGTTGATAAAATTGACCCTATTGTCGCATCTAATGTTACTGAAGTTGATAAAAATGCTCCTATTGCCACATCTGATGTTGCTGAAGTTGATAAACATGCTTCTATTGCCTCTACTGATGTTGATAAAAATGATCCTATTGTCGCAGCTAATGTTGCTGAAGTTGATAAAAATGCTCCTATTGTCACATCTGATGTTGCTGAAGTTGATAAACATGCTTCTATTGTATCTACTGATGTTGCTGAAGTTGATAAAAATGATCCTATTGTCGCAGCTAATGTTGCTGAAGTTGATAAAAATGCTCCTATTGTCACATCTGATGTTTCTGAAGTTGATAAACATGCTTCTATTGTATCTACTGATGTTGCTGAAGTTGATAAAAATATTCCTACTGTCGCATCTGATGTTGCTGAAGTTGATAGAAATGATCATATTGTCGCATCTGTTGAAGATGTCAAAAACGACATCATAACTGTTGTGGTTGAACAGGAAAAACTCAATGAATCGGACAACTTAAGTATTCCAATTGGAAATGATACTGATTCTGCTTTTGAAGAAAACGATGACGCCATTCAAACTGATTCGGGTATTAGCTGCCTGGACTCCGGAAAAATTGAGGAGCACAATTTATCTGGTACTAATACCAATGTTGTTCCTGAAACTGTACCAAAATCTACAATAGAAAGTGATGGCGAAAATATTGTCGAAACTGATAAGATAACTGATTTGAGTTTAGAAAATCATATTGAAACAAATTATGATGGAAAAATTAAATCTAATGAAAAAGAGAATGAGGTCCATCAAGGTAATTTAAGGAAACTTGATGAAACAATCACTTCTTTATCTGATATTTACTCTGCCAATGATACGGAGGAATCTACTACTGATTTAGAAAAGGTTATGAACGAGGCCATTGAAAATACAAAAAGAAAAGACAGTAGTGCTGATGATTCGATAAAAGATAATATTGCATTGAATGATGAGAGTGATGCAAGTGAAAGTATTAATTTAGTTATTCATAGAAAAACTATGAATAACTACCCCGACCCCGAGGCAGAAGCTAATATTTTATTTAAAAATGATGATTCTAAGGGTACGAAACAATCGCACGATATTGACGAAGCCATGAATAATCATAAAACTGAGATTATTGAGTCGAAAAGGCCTAAACGCTCTCTGGATAATAATGCCTCTGACCAAAACGATGTTGACATCGCTACACACACATTGAACGATTCCATCAGTGCTATTGTAGCCGAAGATAGTGCTAAGGAAGCTGATACTACAATAGATTTAAATAAGACTCCAAAAAATGATAATTCTCACACAATGGATCTGGAAACGGCAGCAGTAACTATTCAAAAAGTATTCCGAAATTTCCTATTCAAAAGTCGAGCATCGACATTTGATGATTCTGTAACTGAAGAAAATAATCTATCAGATGACGATGAAAAGAAGGTGAGTATTTCCGTTATTATTTTTTAAAGATCCTTCCAGTAGGTATGTTTGAGCTTAGTTATCATATTAGCGCAGAATATAGGCATTTAATTAATCTTGAAGTAAATTAACCAGATGCATTTAGATACATTAAGTAATCGCATCTTCAATTAATGATGCAATTACATGTTGTTTAGTAATAAATTTTAAATGCATTAATGTTCATACCGTTATAACGTATATGTAATTATGCAATGCAAGCGCACCTTTCATAAACATTCCATGTAATATTACTTTCAGGACGAAGTTTTTTTACCTACAAATAATTTAAATAAAGAGAGGAGGCCTTTAGGCTTAAGCCGAATGGAGTCAGTCCTCCAAACAGTAAATGAAGAGAAATCTCTGTCTCTTTCAACTGATGACTCTTCTCTATCTAGTGCTGCTACTATAATTCAGGCTCATGTAAGAGGATTTCTGCTGAGAAACAAACTGCACTCCTTAAAATCTGCGTCTAGAAATTCATTGGGTGTTTCAAATGGTCCATCAAGCAAATCTTTGGATGCTGATGCGGACCAGAACAAAAACAAAACCGTTCTAAACATTCACATAGTCCCAGAAGGAGGGAACTATCTAAGCAGAGACGAAAGTATATTGACTTCAATGGATTTGTCCCTAGACGGCAGTCCTCCTTCATCAGTCAATTTGCATCCTTTTGGTTACAATACAAGCGAAAGAAGAAAACAATTGAAGCGAGAAGATGCCGTACAGTCTGTCTCGCCACCTAGTAATAATAGTGGCAAACTAAGCGAGGATGTCGATTCCGTTAAAGAGGTAACAATTAATGAACAAGATTCTAATGCAAATCAAGAACAGAAAGTATCTGGAGTTTCAATGTTGAAAGATGACTCTCAGCAAGATACAGATATAGGAAGTCTCGAAACTACTCCTACCACTAGCTTGACCGTTGAAACTGTTGTAGAAGACCAAAAGTCGTCTAACACTGATACAATGAACAGCCCTGAACCCATGACAGAGACTGCAGAAAATTCTAAAAAGGGTTTGATAAAACAGAGTTCAGATGAAATGGACGTTGTTACGCCATTTAAGGAAAACTCAACTATCAAGACGGTAGACACCAACTTACTACATTCTGGAGAATTCCATGACACAGTGCTTCCCACTAAGGTGTCACGGAATGATACACCAGTGGCCAGTGGTGAGTGAAGACATCTTCTATTATCAGGTGATAAACCTTTCCCTACTTTCAAGGCCATCGCATGAACTGCTTAGAATAGGCAATATTCTAGCTAAAGAGTGCTGAGCTAGGTAGTTCGTGTTTTGCTTATTTGAGCCTTGGCAGTTGTAAAATACAGTACGTTTTCTTCTTGGGTAGTTAGTGATATTGCAGGGTAGTCGTAGGTTTTGTATTGTTTGGCAAATGTATTGCGAAATAGTTATTTTACATAATTTACTATTCTTTTCTCAATTTTGCGTGTAATTTATTTGACTTTGAAATTTTTTGTTTCAGAATTCAATAATGTGATGGTATACTTCTTACTTTGGAATAATTCGTAGTATATTAATAATCATACGATAGCTTTTTATGTATAACATATATTGTACCTATCTCTTTCAATCACACGTAATTACAAGTTACAAATAATAAAGTTCTCTTGATATATTTGTTGTCAGATATTATTTAAAAGCACTACTATTTATTTAGTAAAAAAGCGTGCTATTTGTTCTTAATTTCAAAGATGAACAAAAGGCACGCTTCGCACATGGTACTGCAGGCCATGGACATGAGTATTTGAGAATAAAGGTCATAGCACACTTATCAACCCGCAAAGGGATCAACATCACATCACTTTCACGCGCAGTCAAACGAGGCGAGGCATTTATGTAACGGTGCGGATGTGTGCGTTGCAGTACGAAGTTTCATACAAATAATACTAATTTTATAAAAGTGGATGATTTTCTAGAAAAACTAAGTAGGTAGGTAATGTAGGTATACTTGCATACCATAAAAGGAGATTGCAATGGTAACTGGCAGCAGTCCTTTGCTGCTACTAGTTTTAGAAAATATAGGCATGCATGCCACAACGGGAGAGAGGGTATAATACAGCGACAGCACGTTTTTGTTGCACAAAATAGCACCTATTGCAACTACTATTTCTAATAATGTGGTATCGTTTGTAATTGATACAAATTTTTATTTAACAATATTTTAGAGATTTTTTTGGTTACTTAAGTGTATGTAATGTTAACTAAAAACACAACTCTCCTTCTGGCGCAGTCGGGTATGAGGCCCAACTCCTAAAAACTGAGAGCGAGGTTTTTTAGAAGTAGGTTCGCTCATTAGCACTTATGGGAACGACTGTTGCAAATAATGAGCCTTCTATGATTAGGGCATGGGTGTTCATACAAAACCTCGTAATAAAGTCTACAATAAAGAGGAAGGAAGGGTGTACGTTACTTCAGCTGGAAAGTAGCTCCTAGAGTGATATGAGTAGAATGTATAATTAGTTCCCAACGTGGTGTAAATGTACGCCGAATTAGAGATTTGTGCGTGCTGTCGTTTTGGTACAAAATGGAAAAAACGATTCCTGCTGGAGTAACGTTGTTCTAGCAGGAAAATTCTAAACGAATAATCGGAAAGAGAAAAACTGTGTACGAGCAGATAGCTTATATTTGTTCTATTATGTGAGCTGAAAGTGTGATTTGTGCGTCTTCAGGTTTTCGAGATTTTGCATTTCCTGCCAGGGCAGGGTAACGTTTTGCAGAATGCCCTATCTCAAAAACGTCTTGCCACTTTTAGAGAAACAGAAATTAAAAAATTGATTTGTCAAAGTCGAACTGACAGTGACACTGACAGTGATTGTTCGTTTGACTTGTGGTTTGACGCACAGATTTGACGTTTGGTGTTCGTGCACGCTCGCTTTGTTTTGCATTTTTTAATGTGTGAAATACTACAAAAATTATAGTTTACCTTTAGCTTGTTATTAGCTAAATTCATTACGATGCCTCTGCCTCCTGCTTTAGCAGCACGTCTTGCTAAGAGAGGCCTGTTGAAACCTAATTCTGGTGACTCCAACAACGATCAAGTTCCTGTGCAAGCCAATGAAGAGATCATAGCTGAAGATTATGATAGCAAACCTGAAGATCACAATAAAGAATACTTCTGGGAAGGCATTGAAGGAGTCAACGTTGATCCTATAAAGGGCCATAAAGGTTGTCCAAATAAGAATAACATTTATCATGAATGTTCTAAGTTTTGTGTAAAGACATGGAAACAAGGCAAATTGGTACCAGACGAATCGTATCTCGAGAATAAGAGAAAGGTACTGGAATTGTGGCCGTTGCCACCTGGGTGGGAGGAAGTGTATGATGAAGGTTGTGGTCAACATTACTTTTGGAATGTCCATAATAATTTGGTATCCTGGCTGCCGCCTGCACATCCACGAGCTACTCCTTCAGAAAGCGCTGCACACTTGCGAGAGGAGCGGTTACTAAAAGAAGGCGATGAAAGTGAGAACAGCAGTGATGAATCAGATCAGGAAGTTCCTCAGCAACCAACCAAAGAGAAACGACGTGAACGTAGGGAAAGGGAAAAGGAGACTGTTCATCGTCGCGATAAGAAGCGGCCCAGAGTCAAAGACAATGACTTAGATCCCATGGATCCAGCTTCATATTCAGACATTCCTCGAGGCAATTGGAGTGCAGGGCTGGACAGACATGCGAAGACTGGAGTTGATACTACGGCGTCGGGATCTTTGTATCAGATGAGACCATATCCAGCCCCTGGTGCAATCCTTGCAGCTAATGCCAAGCAACAATCTCCAACACCACCCTCACCTTAGATATGTTAATTTTACTGTGTAATAAATATGTATAATAATAGTATTTTGTTTTTAACATGGATTTGAATTCTTTTCCCCTTATTTTTACTATCAATCAAGGAGACAAATGACAGTTTTGAATTTTTTCCTGGTATTATTGTTAAACCAAAAACTTAATCATACAAGCTTCAACTTGTTGTGATCTTTTTAGTATTATACAAGGAAGGATTGAGTGGGTTATAAATGTATGAATTCAAATGGTTGTTCATTTTTGTTTTGCCCATAAGACAAAGAGCAGCTTTGTTTTTCAAAAGTAACCAAGTACAAACTATATACTCATGTGCTAATGCTTTAGAATAATCTGGAATACATAATATAAATACCATTTAAATTATACTTAAAAATAGTGGTAATAAAATAAAATAAATAGAAAACTAGTATTTTTATTTCTACTTGATCAATCACTGCTTTTCCTTTTTACTTGTTTTAAACAACTGTCTTCTCCCTAGTTGTCTGGAAGAGATTGGTTTACAGCTATAAAGGCCGCCTATTATACTATCTCATGAGTATTTCTTTCCTTCTTGTAGTGTACCTAAATGTGCACACTGGCTCACCGTCACACCAAGCGTCTCACTGCGGCACGTCCGTACTCGCCGGCGTCTGCCGTACGTACGACTGTCTCATCTGTGCGTACGACTGACTCGTCCCACTGATCCCACTCGTAACGACGTCACGTGACTGCCTATCACTGTCACTTGTGTACGTGAGACAGCGTATTGTATCTATCTAGTACGTAGATACAAACACTACACTTCTTGTTTTTTGTGTGTGTGTTTTATTATTATTTTGTCCTATTGCCATAGCATTCCAACCCCACGAGAAGTAGGTTCAAGAGTTAGGTCCATATTTTATTGGAAAGCCTCATTAAGTGTTTCTTTCTCTACCAAAAGTTATCATGTACAGCACAGGTACAACATAGTTAAGTACTAGCAATAAAACAACTAGAAATAATATTAAGCAGTTTATTTATATATTTGTGACAAGGAGTATTATAAATAAAAATTCATAACAATTGTAGTTAAATGCCAATAAGGAATGTCAAGGACTATTGCATCTAAGTATAATAACACACTTTATTTCATACATTTGGACCTACACAAAAGGGAAGCACTTCGTAGTAATGCCACGAAATATGTCAATATATCCTAAAGGCGGTCTAGATTAAACCAATAATATTTTCTACTTATCCTATTGTTCATACAAAACACATCATTTGATTAAATAGTACCATGATTTCCGCTATACTAGTTTCGATGTGGCACAAGTTTCTTGCCTTAGTATTTCGTCTTCACATATTATTGGCGATCATTTACTTGCTTTCGCTTTAATGTATACTAACAAGTCTTCTGACGTTATGACTCCCACGGGCCTCTGGATGTTGTCTGAGGAATCTGGAAATAAACATTTTGCTATTTAGTAATCGAATTAATAACTTTAGGCTTTCTTACTGTTGGGCCATTATCTAAAAAGAAGATTTAAAAGTTGAAATAGAAGCCAAAATTATTATAATAAACTTGTGACTATGGCATTTGAAATGGTAAACAGTTAGTGGACACTTAGGAAAAGTGGAAAAGTAAGTAGGTAGGTCGACAATGATAAAAGTGCTACAATGCAAACAATCATTTTGGAATATCCTACGGGAATATCGAAGTCTTTTTATTTCAATACCTGTTTTAACGGCAACGACGAAAGGTGCAATATCGAGTAAGCGCGACACGTGTCCCAGCGTGGATGGCTTGGCCAGATCCACGCTGTAGTACTTCTTCACTGTGAACTTGTCCAGGCCCTCCTCGGTAGATCCTGCGAGCGCGGCCACTCTGCGGCGCGCATAGTCCGCCGTGAACACTCCCACTATGCCCCTACGCCAAAAACATACCCATTAGTATTGTAATAAAGTGCATTTTCTATTGCCTATAGGTGAGTGTAGGTTACTAACGGGACTATTCCTACCGCTGCAACTCCTGTGTAGCCAGGGTCTACAGCTTGACCGCTAATAATAACCCAACCAGTGAAGGTCAAGTTTGTCCAGGGGGAAAGTTAACAGTCATTGGACCCGCAACGAAATTAATCAGAAGAACATAGGAGGAGGCCGAAGTAGGTTACTAACCATCAAATAAACCGAAAGTCGAGGACATCATAAGATAACATGCATCAATAGAGAATATTTCAGACATCATTTACAATTTTCATGCAGATGCTCATGTTAGGTTGGTTTGATGAAAGTATGCGAATTTATTCTTGATGCACTATGTGGTCGAAGAAAAATATGACAATATAAATGTATATTACTAAGCATATAAACAAGAAAAACATTAGCTTGAATCATTTAGGTTTGTAAAAGTAAAAACTGTAAAATTTTGACATGTTTAGTTTGTGACTTGACACCGTACTTGACACTGACTGACAAATTTTTATTTTTTAACAAGTCGATATTTTTATTTTTATACCTCGAATATTGATTAGAATGAGCAGAAATTTTATTCTTATAATTTTTTAAAAATATTCATAAAGCATTTTATACTTGAATTCATTCATAGCCATTTACCCAATTCATCTTTACAAAATTATTTATTTTAAAAAAAGTTCACATACCCATAAATACATGAAAAACTTACCCTTTGTCATTGACAATGGTGAGGAGCGGCGCGTGCGTCTTCCGTAGCGTGGCGAACGCCTCGGTGGGCGTGGCGCTGTGCGGGGTGCTGTGCGCTGGCTGCGGTATGTCTTCTGTCACGGTGTTGCCCCACCACCTGTAAAAACATATTAGACAACCATTACTTTATTATTATTTACTTTTAGGGACAGTTTCACCGGTTGATATAAAAGTAAATCATTATTTTAGAGAGTTTCACCGATCACTGATAGTTTGAGATAGTTATCTTGATTAACTAACAACTAGCCACCTCTAAGGTTTTCTCTGATCGAGATCCAAGACCTGTGGATCGCATAGATAAGTTATTAATAGGCTCTCTAAAACATTATTTAACCGCCTCTGTGGTCTAGTGGTAAGACCACCTGCTTCAGACGGAGAGGTCCCGGGTTCGATTCCCAGTGGGGGCAGATTTTTCTGTTCGGTTTGGTTGGTGGTAGGGCTTGTTCTAAGTCCGCCTGGCTAGCTACCACCATCTTACCTAAGTCTGTCGCCATAACAACAATGTTCACAGCATTATTGTGTTCCGGCAGTAAGATAGCCAGTTCCTCCGTGGTTGAGGATTCCGGGTGAAGCTCGCTTCCACCTTCGGCCTGATCGTCACTTACCATCAGGTAAGATACAGGCCAAGAGCTTCCTCGTTGTGGATAAAAAAAAAAATATCAAGTGTTAATTTTTATAAATAAATGTTATTTTCTTAGAAAAATTACAGGAAGCTATTATTTACGAATTCCACCCTGTATAATAGATATCTTCGACATAATAGTTTGCCCTGTTGTATGATAATTACGTTTACATAATTTTACTGATAATAATTCGCAGATAGTTTTATCTCTCATTATCCACAAAATGCGATGTCAAATGCTTGCATCGTTAAATGTTTATTTTTTATGACTAGTATTTATCTTGCGAATGGCTATAAGGTCGCACAGTGTTTATTATTTTAATCAATAATTACTTAGCAATAATAATAACATTCGTTCGAAATAATATTTCAGATTGCAGCTATTTAAAATTACATTGCCAAAATTAATTGCTGATTTCATGTAGATTATTCAGTTAAGTCTTTTGCTGCAAAATATGTGTTTACATAATTAGGTAATGAGTATTTAAATTAACCCAGCGAAATTATAATTACTTATGTTGTATAGTGCAAGCGATGTTGTACAATATAGAACGAATTACATTTGTAATTGGGTCGGCTTTTCCAACAATGCGTCGTTCCGGCCTCAATATAGAATCTATCAGTGCATCACAGGATATAATATCGACTTTTTTGTCGTTCAGAGCGATGACCTTGGTTGGAGCCCTGCGACTCTATTCAATAGTCGGGCATAAAGTTGGACGTCAGTTTGTGTTAATAAAATCTATTGAAATTTCTCCCATTTCAAGGCAGTTGGGTAGCTCGAAGTATCCAGTAAATAATGACGCTTCTATCAGAACCATAATATTTTCTCTTAAAACTTCACGAGCTCTCTATTATTAGATCGCGGCACCAACCGCGTGAATTTCGGTCTGTCACACAAAAAGGTTTTATCGTTTGAATGTCCAAAGCATACTTTCGGAAACTGGGACAAAACCTGTATATTTTACCCCGAGTCTCAAACTGTTTACCATTCCAAGACACAACTTAGTTATTAAGTATACAGAATTTTACCATTTTTAACCGACTTGAAAAAAGGAGGAGGTTCTAAGTTCGTCGGTACGTATTTTTTTTCTATGTATTTCGATTGAGGTGCGATAACTGATTACACAATTATACTGACCATAGCTTATCGTTGGGCGCGACGTCCTTGAAGCCGCGCGCCTCCATCCACTGGTCGGAGATGAACTTGGTCATGTAGTTGCGCACGTTGTCAGGCAGCAACACCACGCAGCGCTGGCCGGCGCGAAGACTCTTGGCGGCCTGTATTGCGCCCCATACTGCCGCGCCACTGCTACCACCTAAACATTTTTGAACAAAATTATTTTAGGGGCCGTTCAAGTATTACGTAAGCAGATTTCTTACCATTTTTTACCCCATTATTATTCTCTATCGTATTACCTTCGTAAAACCAAAAATCGCATGTCTTTATCCCTATCACGTTTGCAATGATGAAATAACTAACGATGACGTAATCATCATCTAGACCCCCTACCCCCCATGTCATCCAAAATAAGCAAAACAGAGACCCCCCCACCCCCCCCTTGGTGCTTACGTAATACTTGAACGGCCCCATTATACTAAGTAATTAATTCATTAATTTTTATAAGTAAAAAAACCTTCATGGTTTTTAAAGATCACTTTTGTACAGGTACTGGCTGTGCCCGCGACTGTGTACGCGTGAAAATAGTGTGAATAATATTTCCCGATTTTGCAGCACTTTTCTTTATGGCTTTGCCCCTATCGGCTGTAGGCTGATGTTATGTAGCCTAAAGCCTTCCTCTATAAACATGGGCTATTCAACACAAAAATATTTTTTCAAATCGGACCAGTGTTCCTGAGATTAGCGTGTTCAACCAAACAGACTGATGAATGCTGATTGCTGAGCTAAAAAATGCCAGGTTTTATGCGCGCAGTAATTTCGCACGCCGACAATACGCGAAATGCCTTTTTTGATGCAGTTATGGGTATCTATCAATGGGTACAATAGCACGGTAATAATATCATACAGTATTATAACTGCATATAAATGGACGAAACGCGAGCTTTCCTTCGAAATTCAAATCTCGGTACGCGCTCGACATGCAAAAGTCGGGGGTGTCGCGAATATGCCACAGTAATAAACGGACGATGTGTTGTTTTATAAACAGTAAGCGCTATTTTTCTAAAAATAATTACAAGTACATATTTATACAGGGTGTTAGATAAATAGGTTTATAAGCCGACACTAGACCATGTTAACATAGGTACCTACGCAATTACGCATATCAATGTTATGGTGAAGTCAGTGATATCATCATTTTATTTTTTTAATTTTCATACAAAATAAAATTTATAAAATCAGATTTCTATGAATATTAAAATTATTAAAATCATTCATACCATTTATATACCATGGGCTAGTGTCGGCTTATAAACCCATTTACCTAAACAACCTGTATAATAATCAAGCATTTTACAGTCGTAAATTTATAAGATTCGTTACTCAATTTTAATACTAATATTTTTTTTTTATTAAATCTACTAATCACAAAACAACAATCCTTTTTTATCCTATTTAATTCACAAAGTATTTTGTTAGTCAAAATAAAATAAAAATTACAATCACAAAATACATTCACAATAATAGATAAAAATTCTAAGTAGGCAGAAGTAATGAAAATAGGGTCTGCAAGTGGGCAGCCCTATTGCATGTTGTCATACGGTGACGTTCCGCGCGGCTGTTGACATTTATTTCAAAAATATGGCCGAGTTGGAATACTGGTAGGTATTATATTATTATCATGGCTATTTGTGCTCAGATTAAACCGTCACTTCCTGTTTACGGCAGAAGTGAAAATATCAAATCTCAAAACTTCGTATTTTCAGTGATTTTTACGGTCTGCGAATCAAGGAGCGCATTGTAAAAATATTTGAACTTTGTTGATAATGCTCACATAAATGGGCCTACGTTTCTCAACAGCAAAGCATTATAAAATAAGGATAGGAATCGCACTTAGATCGTCGCGAGGTAAATGACTATAGCATTCATGGGAAACACTTATCAATAATTATCAAGAGTATCCGTCAAGAAATACCTACTTCTTTTTCCTGTTATGAGTAGTAATTAAAGTAAGAAGGAATCAATGACATATTAGCGGTAAACAAAAATGTTAATATGCTACCACTTTTGGACCTTTATTGCTTTCATATCGCAAAATATTATTACATTTCTCTGTAAACATAAGGCGACGTCATTAATCTACACGTGCTAGAGTCAGCCAGAGTAGTTATTATGCAAGCTATGTCCACGTATATGGGACTTATCTTTGATTAAAAATAGATTACGCAAAAACTTAAACATCGCCCTAAGTAGGTAAGTCAGTTAACTGTAATAATATGTAAGTATAAATAATTTACGCTCCGTCATGCGTGCGCGTAGAAGAATAGCGCATTAAAATTGTGATTTTAGTTATCACTCAATGTCTAACGTCATTCACAATGCAATTTTTGCTGCAATTATCACGTTAAAACATTAGCAACATACATGCCAATAACGCCAAAGCGTTGCTAACGTGCTAAAATATAGTAAGGCGACAAGGGCATGTATAAATTATAACATCACGCTTTTACCTAACACTAAACTAAGGAGATCTGGTTCTATGGCGACTAGATAACAGATAAGTATCTTAAAATGATGACACTTTATCATGCTATAATTACGCAAAATTGCCAAACGTACAACTACCTAGTTTTACTTAATTGATATGTGCTCGTATGGTAGGTAGGTAATGCATTAAATCACCTTGCACCAGCTTCATACTTAAAAAGAACACCTGTACAAAAGTATTATGAAAAGTACGAACCGCAAAGTAAGCCTTCTTCCCTGATGAGCCTGCGGGACATCTTCAAGGCCTCGCTGTCCTCGGACTTCAGCCATTTGTCGACGACCGCGCGGTCCAGCGTCTTCGGGAAGAAATCGTAACCGATGCCTTCCACCTGTTAGGGAACAGAATATAACACGGTTTAATAAGAAAACTAAACTAAGTCATTTTCTACTTAAATTGTCCTGTTAATACATTCTGATATTCTTTTTTTATTTTTATGCATAATATTTTGAGAGTCGCATTCGAATAAATTATGACCCGCCACACGGGTCGCTTCTATCTTATTCTTCTGGCATCTTAAGCCACAGGCACAGTAATTTAGCTTGTTTTGCTGTCGTCCGAAACTAAACTAATAACGCACCCGAAATACGAACCAATCTACCTATCTAGCATGTAAAATTACATTTTATTTAGGTACGGTTCCTGCTGCAGGAATTAACTGAAACCGAAAAACATAATTTACCTACTTAAATACCTATTTCTTCTTTTTTGCAGTCAGCTAGAAACAAAACCTTGTGCAAACCAAAACAACGCGTAATAGTCGATAACTCTGTTTATATCCAATGTGCGAGTGATTGTGCCCAGCAAGACGCAACCACGATGCTCACATTCATCATATTTGCAAATATGTTTTCATCGTTATAGACCGTTATAGCACAGAATAATAATAAGTACTACGTTATACTGCGAATATTTATTATTTACACTAGTTCGAATATTAGTAACTTTATCAGGTTCACGTCACGATCTCGTAAGCCGTCGCTAATTTTATCGATATGTTTAAATTTTTTGCGACCCTGACTGGATTGTACCGATTTTAATAAAGTATGATAAAACACTTTGGTCACGTTTATGATTACGTAAATGTCTAATACAAAAATATTATGTGAAACGAAATCAATAATTTAATTCATCAAACCCAACATAAGTTTGTAGTTAATAGCATCGCGTAAACAATCGTTGGTAGCTCCACGTAGATTACTCCAATAGAAAAAAACACAGATTAAATAGGACTCTTGGGGTGTTTTTATTCACTTTATCCTCCTCTTGGGGACCTTTATTAATAAAAATGCTTAGATAATGACAACCGCGTATCTCCACGCGTATCATTATCGTGCTTATGAAAAAACGATCGGCTTCATGTAATATTCAGTTCAGAGTTCATCTCGAAACAGATGGCCTTAGTTGATAAATCGTTGTTCCATAGAAACTTCATTTTGCTTTATAATATTATCACTGAAAAGGATAACTATACCTAGATATGAAGAGACATTATAATATCGACTCGCAGAGTACCGAGTAATGCGGAAATAAAACGTAGTTAAGTAGGTAATGTGAGGTATTTTGATCGTTATTTAAGGATAGATAACTATATCTAGGATCCTCCACTAGGAGGCTGAAAAAATAACGAGATCGTGCTTTCTTGCGTTCTGGGGTGGATTGCGGTCCAGCAGTAAACCTAAACTTTTTGCTGACACAATGATGAAGATCAGTGTCGGAGTAGAGCCATGCTATCTAAATCAATATGCCATCAGTGGCAGGCAAGTGGCGCCGAAAGCGAATGCTTAGGTATCTAAAAAGTTATTCCTTTTGATGTGAAAGACGAAAGTTACGTCTAAGGTCCGCCAAAAGATAATCTTGATCTTTCGATCAAAGTCATCGTAATACCAGTAGGTACTGAAGATGTCTATTTACCTCGTAATACGTGACGTCTGTCTTGTTGAGGTCTTCTGGCGTGGCGAGGATGGATCCGTAGGGGTCGATCGCCACCACGATGCAGTTGGGGCAGCGCTCCTTGATCTTGTTTCCGACGCCTGATACCGTGCCGCTGGTACCCGCGCCTATTACCACCATGTCCACGGAGTCGTCCAGAGACCACAGGATCTCTTCGGCCGTGGTGTCATAGTGCGCCAATGGGTTGCAAGGGTTGTTGTACTGGAGGATATTGTTGATGACAGCATTAATTAATAATTCCAAGAAAGAAACCAAAAAAAGTATTTCATCTCTAGCCCTGATAATCGAGTTTTTCTGTTATTAGATTTTTTAAAGTAGCTTTGCTTTCGCGCTCGTGTGACGTCATATTTCTCTTTGAGTTATAAAAGCTAAGTATAAAAGCTCATAAAATGTATGTCAATTGACTGGTGACTATTATTAAAATAGGTTTGAGGCGAGCGCGTATAATTAAATTCCCGGTTGCGTGACATAAAGAAGAGGAAACTAAACCGTGTTTTTAGCAGTAAACAATATTTTATCAGAAATCAGCTTCCCCCTTTTTTGAAGTCGGTAAAAAAAAACACATGCGGTTACAAATGTTACAATTAATATAATCTTTATGGTGTTTAGTAACGCTCAAAATTAAATAGTGACATCCAAACCTCATAATCGACTTTACCTTGATTTGGCCTTGTACAGGCGGATCGAAACTTTATTTATTTTTAAAAGAAATCCCCTACCCGAAAAGTTTAGTAGAGTTGGCGACGAAATCGCCTGTTATCATTAATCCCAGATTATTAGCAGATAACAAGATTATAATTGCACTCGTTAGTGTAATCCGATTAGCCTGATTTATTAATGAAATAATAAATGTAAAGATTTAAAACCAGACCAAATGTACATTACGATAGCAAATCTAATCTGTATGGAAAAACATTGGTTGGATTACTAGATTTTACCTAGTGCTATCTGACTAACTTTTAACAATATTATAAAGAAAATAGGTCACTAAATAAATAAAAAATAATACATATAAGTAGGTACAAGAATAGATTAAGGATAAAATATAAACTTCTTATTACAATGTATTTTTACAACAGGACAGAAGTTTTATGCAATATTTACCTGGTCCAAGATTACTGCATTGGGTATTTCTTTTGAGAGGCGGTGAGCAACCATAATGTTGCTGTCGGGGTCTGTTGATGCAGCCTCTGTGGGGGTCCTGACAATCTCCGCACCCAATGCCAACAATGTGTTCACTTTTTCATCAGACATTTTTTCAGGAAGCACTATTATACATCTGTAGCCTGAAGCAAAAAAGATACTATTAATACCTTAATTATAACATAAAGAGCGCGATAAAGTTTTACTGTGACTGACAAAATTCCACGCGGGCAAAGCCGCGGGCAGAAAGCTAGTTATAATATAAAAAAAAATTCAAAATTCAAATTGTTTTTATTGTGAAATCACAGGTAAATACATAAGTCAGGTCATAAAATGTTTGCAATAGATCAGCTGTGTTCCGCCGCATGGGCATACAATAATTGAAAGATACAGAATATTAATTGATGAAATGATAGGCAGTACAATTTTTTATAATACAATATTAATGATATACATATAAAATTAAAGCAGCTATTTTTTTGTAATGTAAAATTGTAGCAACTATTTTATGATATAAAATTGAGGTAGCAATTTATGTAGTAGAAATTACAAAGTAAAAATTAAAGCACTTGTTACCTTTGACTGCAGCAGCAAGGGCCAAGCCAATGCCAGTATTCCCTGAGGTTGGTTCCACGATAACAGACTTTCCAGGGACAAGTATTCCTTTGCTTTCAGCGTCTAGCACCATTCGATAGGCAATGCGGTCTTTGACAGAACCTCCTGGATTTAGGTATTCACATTTTGCATCTAAAAGTTTAAAAATTCTATTAATTAAATTTATAGAAGCTAGATTGAATGGATAAATTAAAATGAAAACATGAATTTTCTTATACCTAATCTCATAAATTCAATTACTTACACATTTCACACTGAATGCCTTCTTGCTGAGGTATCTTTGAGAGCTTAACAAGGGGAGTATTACCAATGACATGGAGTATGTCAGGATGAACTTTTTGATTTCGGTCTCTGAAAGTAGAAGTTAACTTTAGCCCTACATTAGTTTTGTAAGTACTTAAGTAGCAATTTCAGATAAAATAATTAAATAACTATTATATTATTGTTGTGACTAACTAACATCCGGCTGCACAATGTTAAATTAAAGTAATTTATTTAGCTAGTGGTGAATCAAGGAATTAATTTCATTAGTGTTACGTGAGGTCCGCGAATTTATTTTGGGAAAACATTTTTATGTAGAAAAATAAATAAAAAGCTTGTAAACAAGAAACAACGATTTTTATTAATAAACTTATCCGGTTTTCGAAGCCGAAAATTAAATAAAGTTTCGCGTACGGATGAGTTTCTAAAATAAAGGTTAAAATTAAAAAGTTAACTTACAGTGGTTTCACAATGTGAGGCATTTCTTTGAGATTAAAGAAAGCCGATGTTCCATTTGATAATCCATTTTCCACATGATTGGACATTTTTCCTTTTATGAATAGCACGCTGCAGAGGAAAAGTTTTTTAAATACTTGAGTTGAATGTTATAATGATCTAATTCGTAAGCGGTTAGAAACAGTAAGATGATTGTAAACAAAAAAAAAATGCACTTGTCTCTCAGTGTATGAAATTATGATTAATAAACTTTATTTTAAAAGATTAGAAGTAACTAACTTCAACAAAAGCACCTGTTAGTCCGCAAACTCGCGAGAATTGAATGAATTGAATTTTGTTCTTTGTGTCAATTGTCAAACCGGTATGAATGAAAGAAATGAATGAACGAGTGAAGAGTACGTAACAATCGTTCATTGACCTCGTCAATAGAGAAGCGCTAACTACCGATTGGGATTTCAATAAATCGATTTAGGTAAAAGTAATGTAAAGATTTAGGTAATCGTACTTCATGTATATTATTGTATTGGTATACTATATTTTATGAATATGAAATGAAGTTATTCTATTCAAAACTCAATTCTTTTTTAGTTTTTCACAATATTTTCCGCTTTTGCAACATTTTTAGGGTTCCGTAGTCCTGACAAAGTCGTCAAAGCCGACAGTGGTGGAATTTTTTTTTTAGGATAGCTCCGCTACATTTAAAGTAAGGATGATTTTTTTTTTCATCTTCTATCACATCGTGGGGATAGCTCTTTTAACAGGGGTTTCTAAAGACTATTTTTCGATTTAGGGTTCCGTTTGAAAATGTTAAAACTTAAAGTGCCAATTTTTGTTCGAGCAGGGCGTCCTCTAAAAACTAAACTGTTGACTTGAAAAATTGCCAGCCTGAATGAGGGCTATCGTTTTAGCGCTCACCAGTTGGCGCCACTGTAGAGTAAGGTCCTGTCACTTGCTAGTAGCGAAGACAGTGGCGCCAACTGGTGCGCTAAAGTGGTACGAGGACTATCGCATTTGCACTCATCAAGATGGCGCCACTGTAGAGTAAGGTCCTGTCAATCGCCAGGGGTGCCAACTGTTAAGTATAAAAACGATAGCCCTCATTAAATTCAGTTTGCCACAGCAAAGCAAAAAAGGACATCATCCATTTTGGTCCAAAATCAAAGTTCCGGCCAAAAAATAAAAATGCTGTATTCTGATAGAACACGTCCGCCTTAGCATTTGTTACTATGGCACCAAAGCTGTAGCACCACTGTGCATCGTAGTATTTGAGTTCTAAAAGTCTGTCTTTTTAACCCTTAAATGCATAGTGTTGCCATATGTCTACGAAGTACTTTTTTAATTATAGCAAGTAACACATTTTACAAGCTTTTCTGAATGTACGCTAATATCATAGAAAACATCCAAATAAAAATAAAAAAACCGCAAATGAAGGTAGATTTGAAAAAAATTAACCGATATTTGACGTAGCGATCGCGAAGGGGGAAAAATTGGTAGTGTTAAAATTTGTGGTATTTGAATTTCAGATTCAGTGAGAATTAATTGCTAAAACGATTGGAAAAAAATACATACGTGTTAGAAACAATGTAAGAATTCATTATTATAACTTATTTTTTTGGTAATCTATCCCGAATGTACCTCCGACTTGCTTTTTGTGTATGTAGCCAAATGTCTACACCATGCGTTTATACTATAAAATTGTTCGATAGGAATTGTTGTATGGTTTGCTTATTTGGCTTTTTTTTTCAGCATGTTTGGCTCGCTAATTGAAAAGGAAATTGAGGCAGCTCTTGCTGCTTTAAATGATGGTGCAGTCTCAGAAGATGATGAAAATTTAGATGATGATAACATCGATTATTACCCAAACGTACGCGATTTATTGCATAATCTGGATGAGGAGTCCATAGATCATAATCTACCCTTGGAACACAACGAAGATCCTCCCTAGTAGTCTATGAAGAGGAGCATAATATTAGATTAGATGGTGTTTCGTGTCAGTTCTATTGAGACGAATCTCAATAGAACTGACACGATTATTTGAACTAAACCCTTTTTGAGTAATGTATAAATTCGTTTCGTCTACAATTTTCGAAACAATGTCATCGTTTATGAACTTGATAAAGAACTGAAATGGCTCCTCCAAAAAAAAAAACTACATTTTGTAACATTAATGCACTGATGGGATAGAAAAATAAACAAGCAAAACCTCATTCGTTAGCAAACGTCATATTTATTTAAATGTTAGCAGCATTGTTTCTTGCACGGTTATGTTGGCAGATTTGACTCTTACAGTACCTAGTGCAAGCGAAAACCGACACTAAGGTGACGAACCTTTTTATTCCGCGACTGTACCTACTTATTGTCGTTCACATACACTGTATAAACAAAAAAATGCACCATGGGTACCTACAAACAATAAAAAGGAATGTTAAAACTAGACGTGGCTTATCACTTCTAGGAATTAAACCCAGTGAACGTTTGGGTTGGGTTAATAACATAAATATATCTGTTATTAACCCTATAGAAAATGGGTTAACCCTAACCGAAATATACCGTATAATTTCGGTTTTCTTATCAATCGGTTAATGTTAACATTGATCACAAAATTAAATATGTTAACAGAAAAAATATGTTACAGTTTTACATGCGGTTAACCCTAACCGAATTATAAAGGTAGGTAGGTACCTTCATTTGCCTTTCCACCGCGCGAAATGTACTATGCGCTCTACGGCCATACAAGTTACAACCGATCGCCGCGCGGGCGGCGCGTCTCGTTTGATCATCGCACGTGTCTCTTTCACTTCTATGAGGCGTAATGAAACAAATATACTTTTTACATTTGCCGCTTATTTTATTATTTGTTTGTTTACTCATGCCAATCATCATTGTGCTCGCCTCGGCGCTTCAGCGTGGATTGATTGAAGTGTGAAAAAAACATTACGAAAAGAAACTGTGAATGTGAAATAGTTAACTAATAAATTATTATACTGGAACATTAGTGTTATATTGTATAATTATNGATTAAACCAATAGCCTTACTCTACCGCCAAACAATGGGCACACCGCCGCACCGCACCACAACACCCCTTTTTTACGGGTAAAAATGCGTTGAATCGCATACCTACCCTGCGGGGACAGGGTCAGAAGAACGAGGCATACCCACTAAAAAGACCCCGTACTCCGTCGCTCGCCTTAAGTGGCAGGAAACTGTGTGGTTCCGGACAAAGCCTTCTCTACCAAAGCCCCTCCCGGCCCTACAAACCTCCAGGATGGGGGGCGACAGGAGCAGCTAGGAGCACACAGCTGTTCTCGTCCGACGGTGGTGGTGACCTGTGCAATGCAGGTGGGGGCGCCACCGGCCCGCTGGCCATCACCGAGGAGAGAAAACTGGAGGCGATCATATTGTCGCCTCCTTTGACCCCTCCGCCGTCGCCGGAGCGAGGGCGCGTCTGGATCATCCTCACGCTCTGGCTCGGCGGCCTCTTTCTGAGACATCACCACAACACCCCTTTTTTGTGTGCGTACCCCCACGCCACGCTTTGGCCGTAGCCTCACTTACATGGTCGCCCTCAACAGGGCAACTTCCTCCGAAACGGGCGAGCTCCGCACGCATTTCGGGCCACAGTGTTAGGAGGCAGACGCCCCCGCGTCCACATCAGTGAGGCTCGCCGTCATGTCGGCTCACTGCACCAGCATCGGCTTTTGCGGCTGAAGGCAATCTTTTGCCCCAATCATGTGCTCCACGGCCTTGCCAGCTGCTTCACATAATAAGCAGCGGAGAACTTGGACCAAGCACACTTTGGCCTTATGGCCCTCTTCACTGCAGCGGAAACAGAGTCCATTGCGGTCAATGCCAGCGGCGCACTTGAAGGCCGTGTGGCCAGTGCCCTAACAGGCAACACACCTTAATGGTCTCGGCTTCAACACTGTTACATGATAGGACGAGGAGTTTAGTGGCCGACTGACTTGGGTTGAACCGGAGACCGACCACACACCCTTCCCTCAACCCTTCACCGCTGGTCTCGCGCTCCACCCGCGTGTGTCGGTCACTGTCGATTTATTTCTTTAGTACCGAGAGCGAAGTTGCCGTGTGTGTTCTCTCAGAATACACATATTTTAATACATTTTTTTTGGCCTGCACTTTTTGATTATGCACCAAAAATGTATGAAAAGTGGATGACTTTGATCTCAAATACTACGACGCACAATGGTGCTATAGCTTTGGTGCCATAGTAACAAATGCTAAGGCAGAAATATTCTGTCAGCATACAGCACTTTTTTTTGTTGGCCGGCACTTTTGATTTTGGACCAAAAATATATGAAACGTGGATGATGTCCTTTTCATAAAAATCCGCTTAAACTTTTAATTTTTTTCCAATATTAGTAGGACAAAGGAAAATAATCATGTAAAAGTGAAATCGAGAGTTATAACTAGTATAAATCAATTGATTAATAATACATTTAGCCTAGGCTATCGGCCGATAGTTGGTCGATAATTTAGTTGGAACTTGGAAGGCAGTTGGGAAGCCCATCCAACTATTTTGTGGGCCAAATAAAATCGTTGTAATGTGCGCACTTCCATACATGCTCAAACTGATTAACTGCCCGACTAAACTTATGATGAAAAATCGATGGACTGCGCCACAGATATGTATTAGATATCTGGTCTGCGCCCAGGCTAATACAGGGTGGAATTTCGTAATGCTACCTGGAGGGAAAGTAGAAAGTACTCATAATACTGTAAATAGAAAATTGTACTCAAAGAAAACATTCCTTTATTTTTTTAAAGAAATATAATTGCATTCGGAGAATTCCAAAAAATTGCTTGCCATAGGTACCCGGAAATCGAACCAACTATAATCTGTTAAAAATATTTTTATTGCATCGATCGTTAGGGTTAAGTTTATAAGGATGCTACTAATCTCTTTAACAAACTTTATAAATCAAATGAAAAGAAAACCAAGAAATTTTAAATTAGGTATTTACAGAAAATTGTAGTATGGCGATGATTTTCGAAAAAAATTCAGAAATCTTTGAATGTCGTTCGCATATGAAAATGGGTGAAACTAGACCCATTTTAACGAAGGAAAAAAAATACAAAAAATATCTGTTTTTTAATAGATTTTTTTCTTTCAATTTCTTATTGTAAAGAAAACGTTATAACTTTTGAACTAAGATGATATAATTATCTTGGCTATATATTCCTGATGAAATAAAAACAGTAATAATGCTAAATGAACAGGCAATACTAATAAAATTACATAAAACACAGAAAATTGCAACAATTAATAATAAAATGTTATTTTTGAGAAAAATCTGTATTTTACCTAATTTGTGTTTTTTTTGTTATTTGATAAATTTCTCTACAGAAGGCCCATAATACAGGTGTTTTTTATTACTTTGTGTTATTTTCTATCGTATCACCTTTGAAAAACCAAAAATCTCATGTCTCTATCCCTATCACAGGTAGGTACTATAAGGTATAATATTCTTTCAGAAATAAAACAATAATATAATACTGCACAATTTGGTTTGAAACCCAGTTTATTTAATCACATAGAGTAATAATATTGTAAGGTTACATATTTATTTTTATCGATGTCCATTTTCACTTAGCCAGGGTTGTTTTAATTATCTCAGTAGGTAGGTGTGTTCATCAGGTTTAGTATGATTTTACAGCAGCATGCTGGTAAATGTAATCCAGAACCTCATCACTTGTGGCTATGCCTTTTGGCACAAAATGTTCTGAAAAACAAAGCGTTAATAAGATATAAATTACCTATCATTATCGTAATGTGTTAATAAACGGTACTGGGTAAAAAATACCTCCATTCTCGATTTCATTCCCAATAAGTACAAATGGTGTAATGTCGAGTACTCTAGACAACAAACCAACACTTGGCATTCCTTTTTTCGAGTTGAGCGCCAAGATGTGCACGTGCTTCACCATATAGTCTGTAACTGGACTCTCCCAATCGAACTCTTCGGAGTTTTCCATTGGCAACTTCGTTGGGTTCGTAGCGTAGTTTCTAAACCCATCTTTGGAAGCAATTCCCACATAATATCTGAAAAATAAATTCGCAGTTCTGTTTTTAAACCGGACTTCAATAAAGCTGTAAGGTAGGACGCAATTTCTCAACAGACTGTAGGTAAGTACATCACATCTTATGGCTTATATTATTATCTTATGGTTTTACCTACTAGATTTGTATTAATTCATAAAAATCTCCGAGTTATTATTAAGGAATTAAAAATGGATATTTTACCCATTTCCGTCTACCACGATTGCCAATGTCTTTTTCTGACTCTTCATCGCTCGCAGTGCAGAAGAGCATGTATATCCTATGTTAATCACAGGATAATTTCTCGTTCGTATATCACTAACAGGATTTTTCCACCATCTGAAAAAAAACATGTTTTAGATAGGTAATTCTATAATCAACAAAATGGTGCAAGAGTGGTCTCATTATATTTTTTCTCAAGTCTGCGCAACGCATCGATCGTTATTCTCAGTGGGGCTAGAACTCTTTTTTAACTTACTTCATGGTGTGTTCTGGAGGCTCCAAGAAGCGATATGCTTCCATCCATTGGTCGCTGACGAATTTAGTCATGTAATTGCGGATTCCGTCCGGCAGGATCACCACAACTCGCTGGCAAGCTTTTAAGTTATAACGCTTTGCAGCTTTCAGCGCAGCCATCATTGCGACGCCACTGCTTCCACCTGCAACGTAATACTTTTTCTACACACAATTACACATTTAAATACTAAAAAAAAGTAGTAGTTCTTTAAGGATTTCTGAATTTCTTATTCCAGGATCCGCCTGAGCTACCGTTGGTTGAACTATTGTTTGTTTTATTTTATACTTCCTACCGCATAACATGCCCTCTTTTCTGCTCAGATCTCGTGCCATTAGAAAAGCTTCTTCATCGGTGACAACTTCGAAACCGTCTGCGATAGTTGCATCGACTACTATTGGAGGCTTCGACCCTCCAATCCCTTCCACCTGTAAAAAAATATTTTCTTGACATATTTTGATCATTTCAATCCGCGAATCTAAGAAACGAATGGTCTGATTTGAATTAGTAATGTTAGGTAGGTACGCGTAGGTTCAGTTGGTGTTACAAACTATAAGCCTTGTCTGTAGGGGACTGAAAAAATCAGCTTCGTCGATTTTCACAGTACCTAAGTAACAATGAAATTACCAAAAAGGAGTGTTTTTTCCCATTTTTGTTGAACATTGTAGAGCCGTCAGGTTCAGCTGCGATCACCAAGCACTTAGGGTTGCGCTCCTTGAGGCGGTGTCCCACGCCGCTCATAGTCCCACCAGTGCCAGCTCCCATCACCACCATGTCCACATCGCCTAAAGCATCAGCTATCTCGATTGATGTATGTTCATAATGAACCCGTGGGTTGACATCATTATCGAACTGAAAATGAAATGCAGTCATTGGTATCAAACCTTGCTTGATTCGGAAGTGATAAATCAGTCAGTCATTATCTAGATTGCTTACGCAAAATCTAAGGGATTATTTCCAATATCAATTATCTACACAAGTAAGAAAGATCTTATCTCGAAATCTTACGATGATCGAACGATATATTTACATCATACTTATTAAATTTTTAGCGTTAAGAGTTGCATCTCAAACTAATTAATTGTAAATTAAAAATAACTTGAAATAAACCGAACTGCCTAAGGCGGGACATACCACTGAAACTTTATATCCCGTCGTGCGCACTTTACATAATAAATCATTTCCTGAAAGCGTTAAAAAGGGATTCGCTGTCTATACGCAGGCTCATTATTTATGACATACATACATGTACATTTGTAGGTAGCTTGAATTTAATTAGGTAATTGTGAATTCATGGGAATGAACAAAATAATATACTTATAACTACTAAGACAAGTACATAAGTATTAATATATTACCTGATTCAACATGATTACACGTTTAGGATCAGCATCTTTTATTTTACGAGCGAGCGCTGAGCTGGACTCGGTTTCCTTAATTTGGATCACGTTTGATCCAATCAGGCGCATAGTGTTAACTTTATCGTCAGAGTTTTTCACAGATGTTATAATTATGCTGTCGTTACCTGGAGAAATGATGATCATTATGTTAACAAACATAATTCATGTTGTACTGGTATCAGGGTCTCTAGAGGTTCCTATTGTCATTCTTCATTCATTCAGTAATCATGAACGCTTTGTTTCATTTCAAGCTGAACACAATTTAATATTCCGGCAAATTCTTAAAAAAATAAGATACTACTTACCTCGGAGAGAGGCAACATACCCAACAGCTATACCAGTGTTACCAGAAGTGGGCTCAACAAAAATGGTGTCGTCATGAATGACTCCGTGGGACTCCGCATCCCTCAGCATCGCCAATCCCACACGGTCCTTGATGGACCCAGCTGGGTTTAAGAACTCACATTTTGCATCTGTAGGTAATTAATAAATTATTATATATCCCTATGTTTTAATTTTCTAGAATTTTCTTGATACATCGATTTTTTTTCTAGCGCAATAAAGTTAAATTCTATTCTAGAAACTTACAGCTAGTGGTGCAAACCCGTGCCAGCTAAAACGAACAGTTCAGTTCAATATTTTATTTTTATTTTGTTTTATTCAGAAAACAAACAGCTTACAAATATATAAATTGCATAGATACAGTGTAGTTGGTCAAAGCCTATAGTTTTCACCTCTATATAACGGAGGGATATAAAATTTAACAAATTTCAATTATACGTAGAAGCAAAGAAAAAAAAATGGATAGAAAGAAGTTCGAAGAAATTTGACAATAGGTCAGATCGACGAGTCTGACTCGTGAAATCATCTGCAATCAGTTTTCTTACAGCAGTAGGGTTAGTACAAAATAGGTCTACATGCGGGTGAGCGCTAACTATCTCGTTGAACCTATTTGCCACCCTACAGAAGAACGAGTTCCGACGGTAGTTCGTGCGAGTCAACGGCAGGTGCAAGCAGGGCGCTTTCGATTCTGTTTGTTGGGGACTCGTAGGCGGACATTACTTAAAAATTGGGAATTATCAACACGGCCGTTACATTATGTTCATTAAGTAAGTGATATCCGCAGCCGTCCTACGCAACTCAAGATATGTATGTACTTACATATTTCACATTCAAGCCCGTATTCTTTAGGTATTTTGTTAAGCCTCACTAGTGGTGTATTGCCAACACACTCTAGTATATTACAGAACACTTTTCTATTTGGTTTTGCATTTTCTCTGAAAATAAAAAATAAAAAGATACTTTGGTTGCACGTAATGGTAGAAAGGTTGCGATGGCAAACTGTTTATTAAATCTTTATTTCAAATATAACGTTGATAAAAGAATTATCTATAGTATAGACCCAACTCCATAAAACCTCGCAACCACTGTTTTATCTTAACGAACCTTTGAGGTGTAGTCATTGAATTGTTCATTGAATTTAAATAAGGATTTTAAACTCTCGCATCCAAAATTTTGCTTTAATTCATTATCCCGAAAACCACACACAGACATGAAATACTTACTCGTTTACTTTAAAGTGGTGTTCCTTGCAGTCGCTGCCATCCCAGCCGTACATTTTGGATGTCAGTATACTAGTCAAATAATATCAATTTATTCTAACTGCCTAGGCCTCCTAACAGAACAGAACTGCATTTGATTTCGAAAAATGAAAACTTTATATAGTCTATTTTCGCTATTGTTTTTCATTTTATCGTTTAATATAATCAATATTTAATAAAGGAATTGAATAGCAACTGTAATCATATCACCGTTGTTTTATGTTCGTGGCTCTACATTAATAATTGGATCTCTCGGTTGCTATTCAGTAAGTATGTACCTACTAACTGCCTGCTCATAAACTTATGTTACTTGGTTACTTGGACAACCTAACAATCCATGCTAGGTAATATCTAGTTATTTTTTTCTAGCTCAGACCACAGGTTAATTACATAATACGTATAGTTTCACAATTTTCTGCGTTTTGTACACCCTGTATATAAAAGACGTTTGTTTAGACATTTCAGGAAAATCAACTTTGTATTTACTATCAGATCATAGATGAATAAATGCATAGCACAGTCAGTTTTTAGTATTATTTCAGGTATCTCGGCAGCACATGAACCTAAACACTGTCCCCCTTACCACCCTTACTAATAAAAAGTTACACAGCTTTTGAACACTGTTTTAAAATGACATTTCCATACTAAACTTCACTTTAAAACACTGTTCAACGAGCGTGTAAGTTTATTAGTAAGGGGATGTGCCAATAAGTATCTTATGTAGTTAAAAGTAGTGTGATTTTGAACAAAATATAGTCTGGTGTGCTGTCGGCTATGTGTTGATGATCTTAATCGTTCGTTTCAGTCAGCTCATGATTACTTGACGCTATTTATGATGTCATCTAATGTGCCCTTCGAAGACACTTGTGCCATAGTATAATTAACGCAAGCGAAGCCGCAGACTAAATGCTAGTGTCTTCCTTATAAGAAACCAACTGTAGCAGAACTTGCTCAATAATTTACCTATTACTAGTTATTTTTTAATGACATTGAAACGTTTATACGTACGTCTGCATTTTAACATTCCATTATGAACGTTGAAAACAATAGACTTTGTGTGCAGGACGACTACAAATCGGCCGNGCCCCCTTAATTTAATTTATTGTCCGTGGTGCATAATCTTTTTCTTAAAGGTTTTAAACCTTTGTTTGTCACCTGTCATCCGCTTTGCAATGGAGGGAAGTCGAACCTTAATTTCGAACTCCTCCTATGTTCTTCTGATTAATTTCGTTGCGGGTCCAATGACAGTTTAACTTTCCCCCGGGACAAACTTGACCTTCATTGGTTGGGTTTTTGTGGCGGTCAAGCTGTAGATCCTGGCTACACAGGAGTTGCAGTGGTGGGAACGAGAGGTGGGAATAGTCCCGTTGTATTGTGCACCTTCACAAGTTAATTTAAATTATTTAAAAAATATGTCACCAGTACAATATCAGGGATATCTGAGGTACAGTTTCATTAATGAGGTACAAGTGTGGCAAGTACTCTAAATATGATTCTTTGCAAGTTACCTCCGTGCACTAATATTATTTCTTTTCTGGGAGGTTCATTTTGGTGAGGTCCTCTGTGTCTCCGCCCTGGGACATGTTGGACAGCTTCTTGCCGATCCGTTCATGCACGTCCAAGTATTTTGCGACACAACGGTCAAGGCACACGGATTCGCCTTTGCCTGAAAACGAAAAGAAAATATTCAATATTTTGAAAGTGCTTAGCTAGAAACACCAAAGTCAGTAAAATATTATCTTTGTAAACAATACTGGCCCTGACCCTAAAGAGGAGACAAAGATTACTTTCATTTAGGTGATTAGGTATATATCAGCTGAACTCTCTCATACATATAATATAATATTGTCAATTTACCATCAGTGTGACAATTTGGGGCAATTTGAAGCTTCCTTTAGTTCACCAGAGTTGACCAGAGTCATAATGTTAAGTGTTTTACAGGATAATCAATTACACTACAATATTCTACATAAAACACTAAGGGCCTGTGCACACTACGTTTTTTAGGGCCCTCGCCCACGCGCCACGGCGGCGTTTCGTAAACGAGCGACACCATCGCTACTAACGCGCGCTAGTCGCATTTGCAACGCACTGCAGAAGTGTGCTACAATTTTACAAATGACTTATCATCATCTCAGCCATAGGACGTCCACTGCTGAACATAGGCCTCCCTTTCCTTCAGAACAGTCTGATTTGCCTCGTCGATACCGCTAGAAACACGCGTGGACGTCCCGCTTATAAAACGTGCTGTGTACATGCCCTAAGAAGAAATATAGAATTGCAACCCACCTAGCTCAGGCTCATGGTACTTCACAGGTATACATTTACGATGACACGCGCTCACGAGTCGGTTGTACATGTCGGACATCATCTCGATCTCAAGCTCTTGCACAAGCTGCAGCTTCGCAGGGTCAAGCTGGGGCACCGCCATCTTGGAAGCTCAATCGGTGATGTAAAAGCTTGCGAGTAACAGTACCTGTAATGTGTAAGAAGAAAAGTGATCAACCAAAATATGTGCAACAACAAAAAACTTACTAGTCTGTACTGTTTGTTTTAATTGCTAAATCTCAAACTAAAGCTGTTATTAGCTACTTTAGTATTTCATAATTGCAAGTAGGTATCAAACTGTTAACAGCATTATTGTGTTCCGGCAGTTAGAGGTAAGATAGCCAGTTCCTCCGTGGTTGAGGATTCCGGGTGAAGCTCGCTTCCACCTTCGGCCTGATCGTCACTTACCATCAGGTGAGATACAGGCCAAGAGCTTCCTCGTTGTGGATAAAAAAAAAAAAAAAAAACTGAAATTTGAATAGTTTATTGCTCTCTGGATGGATTGGAAAGTCAGAATGTTGAAAGGTTGTAGGTTCAATTCCCACTTGAAGCAACCCATTTTCAAGTTTAAATGTTAAAAAATTTCATTCCATTAATTCATGGACCTATAAAAAAAGGCGGACGGAACTCGCGCTACAACAAAACTGTGACGCAAAATTTTGGCGTTTGTATAATGTGTGAGTGAATTTAGGGATGCCATGTTAGCCAAAACATGTTACCCATTTATTTTAAGAAAAACATAGATCGGCAGATGTTACTTGGAAAAGTAGACAGAATTATTCCGTGCCATTTTAAAAGGTTGAAAGGTGAATGCGTTGAGGTAGGCGCGAAATTTTCAATGTTCAAATTTTCTTACATTGTTTGCAAGTCAGTGTGTCAGGGTATGTACATAATGTTGATCAAAAATGATTCTCGCAGTTACAAATTACGAATCTTGTGTACATTATAATCATAATCTTATACATCATCAATATATTATTATTATCTCTGATAGATTTTTTTTAACATACAACCTGACACTGACTTGCAATCAATGTAAGAAAATTGGAATTTCGCAGTTCCACATTTTTGGGAAGGATCAAAGCCTATGAAATTATATCACACTAAAACACAATTATTATGATAAATTATTTTATTTCCATAGTATGCGTAATAAATAACTAAAAAGTCCTAAAATTATTATTAATTTCCCATATTTTGGGTAATTTTCCCACGTAAATAACTGAGAACACTGGTCTTTGACGTATTATTTTTTCGAGTGAATGACGTTTGATTTCAAATAATTNTATTACTGTGTAGCAAATTAAGTAAGCGCGAGTATTCACGTAATATTAAGTTATTATGTGCTCTTACTGCTAACATAGTATGTGAAGAAACCTACAATCTGCTCTTTACTGCGTTTATGATAATATGTATCTTCCGTTCTAAGATAGATAGAAAAAAACGGGTCTTTGATTCTTATAGATCGCGATGTCAGGATTCAGAATATTCAAAACAATCATAAATGCAGTAAGTGGTACTTACTGCGTTTATAAATTGTGCGGCAGTATTGCAAGAAGGGCTCAGTCAGCGGGCTGTCGCACGTCAGCTCCACATAAGCCAGTCCTGGGTTTCGAAAGTTTTAAGACGCTTGCGGGAGACTGGTGGCTTTATCCCGAGACCATTGCAAGAAGGACTCAGCCAGCGGGCTGTCGCACGTCAGCTCCACATAAGCCAGTCCTGGGTTTCGAAAGTTTTAAGACGCTTGCGGGAGACTGGTGGCTTTATCCTGAGACCAAGTTCTGAACATTGCCGGTGCACATCGCAGAGGGAAAACCGTTTTTTCATGTCAACTTCTCTACGAAATCGTCATTTGACTGGTATCGACGTCCAGCAAGAACTCAGAAATGTTCGTAGGATAGCTGTTAGCAAGATATAAACAATAGAATTTGACTCCAAAAAGGCCTGCCACAGGCTGGAAACTGACGGCAGGTCACCGACAAGCACGCTTTCAATTAGCTCGCACTCGGAAGGCGAGTAATGGAGGCGAGTTTTGCGGCGTTTACCCGTGGTCCCCCCAACATGTCCCCCTGGTGGGTCCACGGGTAATTTTTTTTTACCCGTTGTCCANAGCTTCTACAGTCTACAGTTCACCGCTCTCCGTTTCACCGCATCCATACAGCCCACTCCGCTCATTCACTCCAGTCACAGTTATCTGGCCTCCGACAGTTCCGTACAGTTTTTAGCCGGATAATAAACAGTCCTGCACACTTTGTAAACCTATTTCAATTCACTATTATAAGATTGTAACGACTGGAATTTACGATCTGAAATATAAAATTACATCATTACCTACCTATATAAATGCCTTTATGTTTTTAAAAAACATTAAATTATTCAACAAATAATTGTACACAGTTGTGTTTTTAAATAGTTATATTTTAAAACAAACAAATATTAATTAATTGACTTAAATACTTATTATTTGTATTACATATTAATTAAAAATTGTTATTACGATAACAACTAGGCAATAGGGGAGACTGGGTACGGTTGAAACAATTTTGCTTTTATTGTCTATAATTTTGTTGTTTAATAACCAAGTGACGATAACGATACATGAAATTGAAATTTGAAGTTTTAGCTATAATATGGCTGTATCATTATAGTTCCCGGGTTACTAGTTTTAGAAATATACGAAATTTAAAAAAAAAGAAATTTTGTTTCAACCGTCCCCATGCCAGGGGCGGTTGAAACAGCGATTGGGATCTGTTGAAATACATACAAATAATACAATAATTACTAATAAAACGTGTTTTATTTATCATTAATACTACGAATGTTAAAATTATGGTACCACATGACGACATTAATCAGTCTAAGTATTTAATATTTCTAAAACATTAATTAGCCTTTGACAAGTAGTAAACATTTAAAAAAATAACATAAATATGATAAAATAAATGATATTTCCAAATCTAATAAACATTAATAATAAAATAATATTAACATTCTGAATAAAGTTAACGAAAATCTTTTTTTTTTCAAACCATACGTTTTAGCCGCTTTCCGCAGTCAATCTCCAGCTTTTACCTCCTCTTATGCTATACCAAGTCAATTTCCTCCCTGGAAATCTTCCTTACCCAAACTCTCGGCATCTACAAAAAATAAACATCAATACATTTTCTGTTTCAACCGTACCCAAAAAAAATGTTTCAACCGTCCCCAACCCCACTTTTGGTAAAATATACTTTATAGTTTCGACACTAATAATCACACATTAAAAATAGTTACTGTCCCTTATTCTACAAGCTTCATTATAATCGCAAACGCACACTCCATACATTCACATAAAAAGAACAGGTAGTATAAGCGTTAATGTCTGAAGAAAAATACTTACTTTGGGTAGTAAAAAACAAAATGGTGTTTTATACACAACGTCAACGCGTTAGGAAGTTATTAGGTACTAAATTCGTGTTCGGACCTGTCGTCCGCTTCTTTTTCCCCTAGGACCCCTTACTCCCCGTGGAACCGTTTACGAGATATTTGCTCTGTTTCAACCGTCCTTTGTTTCAACCGTACCCAGTCTCCCCTACTTATATCTAGATTACCAATGTATATTTACAATGTATTTGTAGCAGAGGATTTGTTGAGCTTACTGCGGCTCCTTGGTCCACTTCTGTATAATAAAAATGGACTAAGCCGTTTTTGAAGCATTATCTCCAGATCAGTTCAAGTGACAAACTTATTGCATTGAGATCATCCATCATTACGAGAGATGTGTTATTTAGATCATAAGTAAATTATGATCAATTCTTCACAGAAGTTACAATAATTGTTCTTGATAGATGTTTTTCATTAAGTTGCCACTTGATCACTGCTTGAACAAAAGCACTTCTGTAAGAAGTAATAACGTATTAACTCAAGACTATGCGAAAGTTGAGATGGTTAATGTTGGTACACATTTTCAAGGAAGAAATCGTTTGTCTTTCCGAACTTAGAACTAGTTCGATTATCACTGCACTTGATTAGTTTATGTCACTTCACTCTAATCACTGTATTTTCGACTAGGCCCTAGAATTATAGGGCCATTTCACGGTTTGTTGGCGTAGTTTTCGTAAAGCCAGTCCCAGAAGCGCACGCGCTTGGCCTCAGGGTCTGTGAGCTGGGTGAAGTTCCCATCGATGTCTAAGTAGTTGATGTGGGAGGTGTCGTTAACGGGCTGCCATTTGAAGTCGATTATTGAGTCGTAGTCCACAGGAGGCGTGGGGTTTCTAGAAATAGAAAAAAAAATGACGATATACAAGTAAAGGTACTAGCATACTTATTATTATTCTGTGGTACTAGTACGAATATGATGCTGGAAGAGCGTTATAAAAGATACTACGTGAAACGTATGTTTCAGGATTCTGCGAACCTTTATTTGTATACTTCGTACGCTACGTCTTCACATTATTTGATTTCAGGGAGTGACGTCATTATGTTATTGTTATGATTAAGTCTTGAAAAAAAATCTCTGAAAAATTAGTCTTAGGTACATATTTTTTCACAAAATAAAAAAATGGTAAATGAGTAGAAAACTTACCCAGTCTTAGCAAAGTTAGTCCACATTTGTACCATACGCTGCGAGACGGCAAGCTCCGTAGAGTTTTCGTCTAGTCTGTAGTTCAGGCGGGAGAAGTAGAACAAGTATCCCATCTCATCGCCATGGCATGCCCCGGGGTGCGTGATGCCCAGCATTCGCTTAAACAGTCCCAGGGCACCGTCGAAGGCGAACCGGTACACGTAGGTCGGACTCGTCCTGTTGGTCTCTGCTTGCAGGCGAACGGTCTCTAATAACGGCCGGAGGAACATCACGTCTGTGAATAACTGCAGAGAATGAAAACACAAGTTAGCAAACCATCCATATAAATCTGTAGTGTATTATCTATCTAAATGTCGTTGGAAATAAAGTGCAAGCGCAATTCGACACGCGGTCTTGACATTCTATACGTGACGGTTGCTGTTTGGCAATATCTTGCGCTTTGTTGAGCAATTTTTTATATTCGTGCATCATGTGCCACCTATCTTTGAGATGACGCTCTCTATGAATGAATAAACATTGTTGAAAGCTTTTGCCTGCGGCTTTGCCCGCGTGAAATTCAGTTTGTCATGCACAGAGAGACCCGACCTACTTGAAACTTATCATTGCAATATTTTATTTTGAGTAAAATTAATGCAGTTATGTAGGGTACAAAGCTCAACTGTAAATACAATAAAACTGAAAAGTTTCATGAAAATACATTCAGTAGTCCATCTATCGTCATAATCTGTGGATGTTGTCAAGGATAGTGAACTTACGTCAATAAGACTGTCGACATTCCTGGTGTCCACGGGCCTCTGCTGGAAGTAGAAGGCTCTGATGGCGGCGGTGACGTTGCTGGTGAGCTCAGGGTCTGCGGAGAACAGCTCGGGCGGCACCACGCGCTGGAACTCGCGGTCCAGCTCGCTCAGCAGCTTTGGGTCACGCTGCATTCCTGGAAAAGTAAGCAGCTTTTAGTAAAACCGCTGTAACCAAGAAACAAATCAGAAACTTAATAGGTCGTTGCAATTCGCGAAGATAAATTAGAATTAAATTGATATGATTTAATTTTTTCATGTTATTTATATCAAAATAATATCCTATGTCGCATTTTTTTTCAGATTTTCATCACACAAATTAATTCCGTGAAATTCAAACCCGCAACGTAAAAGACCGCAGTAGGAATTCGATACGTTAAAATGTAATGCGTTTCTTACTAACTTTACTAAAATTGGATTCAGTCATGAAGCTAAAGATAAAAATGGAGGCCAGACTTAGAATACCTACTTGAAGCACAACCTATGTATCACTATCTCGCTCTCTGTGGGCAGGCTCTCTCTTTCTAAGTAGGGTAACCTTTTATTTATTTTTCTCAGGACGACAAAGACTGATTTACGTTTAAACAGTGTGTCTTGATAAAGTGCACTTAATATGATTATGAAAAAAGGTTTTCGATGTTTTTGTTTTAAGATGAATTACAACATTAAGAAAGTGTAAAGGCATCGAAAACTGTGGATATTTGATAGAAAACAGATTTTAATTTGGCAGTTGACAGACGGATTTGGATATGGATTGATTACAGTAAACGGCCGTAGAAAACATTATGCAAAATTAGATAAGTAAGGTCCCACAGAAAGTCCCAGATATATCCTCAATATGGTCATACTACTTCAAAATGTCTTATAGAAACAAAAATTTTAAATTTGCTCAAAGTCAATGAAACTCAATGTAAAATCTTCTTTTTCTTGACATATGTAACATTTAATAATAAGTTTAAATACTGGTAAAACGTTTTAGGAAGTAATTACTGTGAAAATACAAAGAAATATGTTAACAATGATCCACTGTCAGAAATCACGAAATAAACACTTACGCGTGGAATTTTATATCACTTCCAGGACAACACGAACTACCGCAACCACGCACTATACAATTTTGCACCATTTCTTCAGACAAAACAATGATAAGGTCCCTTGAAAAATCTCAAACGAAATCAACTGCATAGTAAACAACCGCCATGATGGGCCGGATTCGGCCGATGTTGCCACATTACCGATACCTCAGAAATTGGGATTGTAATTCCCTGATTCGCCAACACATTAAGCCTAAATGGCCGACAATTTTGTGATTTTTTATTTAACTAGGTAATCTAAGTTTCAAATATTAATTATTTATTTATTTAACTTCTTATTTGGTTAGTGAATTGGCTATTTCGAAGAATTTACAAGGAGATTTAAATAAGAAGATAGCAATACTACAGTTCACACTAAAAAGAGAGGTAGGGCCACAGAGAGCGAGATAGATATAAGTAGGTATTTGACTCAAGTTTTGTTCCCAACTTTGCCCTCCATTTTTATCTGTAGCTTCATGGATTCAGTTTATTCTTCCTGTCTTATTTGCCAATGCGGATAAGAGATCATATCCATCATCATGATCTCAGACGCATTCAGATACATTAATATTATCAACAAATTCAAAATCAAAACCGTCTCTACATTACACATAGTAAAAATCTCGTAATAATCAAGAGTGTTGAAAAAGCATTTAGAAGCCAATTTATTGTATATTTGTTTGTATACGATTTGTAAGATCGTCCAATGTCACCTACAATAGGCAACAACAACGGTCCAATCACTAACGATCGCAGAACAAGCGAGAAAGTGGCACAAATCTGATATAATCATGTGTTACCGTATTATGTAAATACGGCAAAGGCTCCTCTGTTACAGCGTGTCGGACTGTGTGTCAGTTTGAAGACCAACTTATGCAATCCAAGTTAGTTTATGCAATCGGGAAAAACAATAGCCCTTTTATATTATGGTGGTTGGTAGGTACTATAGTTAGAATCGGTTCATAGGTTTTTAATGTAATTTATTATTGTAACGATATTAGGTACTTAGTGACATAAAATCCCATACTTAGGTTCATCTACATATTTATATCAGAATTAAAAGTTCATCAATTACAGATTAGGCTAACACTATCTTAGATAAACACTAGACCGATAAATTCACAGTAACTTGGCATCTATCTAATTTAGTTATTCCTATATTATTTAGAAGAAAACATATTTTGGTATTTAATAGGTCAATATTTGTGTACATATTTATTACCTACTCGTACTTAGTTTTTTAAATGATCGAGAAAAGCTAATGATCATGGTGTAATGTAATTTTCATTACTTATAAAGAAATAATTAACTTTTATGTAACACATTTCACGATTACTTCACAATAAGTTATGTAATGATTGGATTTAACAAGGACCTAGAAATAAAGTTAGTTTGTGTTACAAGAAATTAATTAAAATAAAATAAAAGAGCTAAAAGTACCTAACTAACTGGGTAAAGACGTGATTTTGTTCTTATCTAGAGCATACATTAATCATTATTACATCGGAACATGGGTAAGTAATGCGATAATGCCTTTAATAACGATTTAATGCGTATCAGTGAATTTAATCATACATTAATATACCTACATAAGTATAGTACTTGTCAGTAGGTAACTCTTTCACGTGATATTGGTTTATTTCTAGACGTTTCACTTTGCCGGTTTTCCCGTCTAGTGTAGCTTTTATAGCTCACCAAAATAATTTATATAAACTTCGAGGTCAATTATTTGGTAATTAATTAATATTACATAACGCCGTTTACGACAGTACCTTACATAATTTTTGAGAATATGTTATGGCTATGTAATATTTATCGGAGAGCAAGGATCCTACGACTACTTTATTGGTTAATATGCCTCATCTCATCATCATCATCATCATTTCAGCAACAGGACGTCCAATGCTTAGGCCTCCCTCAATGATTTTCAGATTGACCGGTTGGCTATGCAGACCGCTACAAATGAGTGCCTATACATATACAACGTGTCCCAAAATTCAAAGATAAGCCGACGCCACAGGATGGACATAGTCATGACTACTTTAGGAAAAATAAGGAAAAAAATCTATCTCAATTATTTTTTAACTTACACAATAAATTATGAAATTCGACGAAAATTGACACCCCTTATGATATTTTACATTACCACGACCAACATTTTTCAAATATTCCTGTTTTTCTGTTTATATCGGCAACTTAAGTAGTGCTGCTGTTCACCCCAACTCTTAAAACCCCCAGAATCCTTGCAGTTTTTACACAAAAGTTATCAAAATATGTTATTTCCTTAAAATATTGAACGATTTTTACTTTCACTCCACTTTGACTCATCGTTTTGTAAAAAAAAAGTATGAACACTACTGCGGCAGGCAAGTTTTTTATGAAGTTGACGCAACTATCCAAGATTCCAAAATGGTATAATACTCTAAAAAACCTAGTCGCAAAAAAAGATATGCGTACTATTTTTACAAGCACTTCGCTTGTTAGTTAGTATGGGATAATTCTTGCAACTGAATTTAAAACCAGTTCTCCTTAACCAATTGAGCTGAAATTTGGTATACTTGTGTAAGTACGATGACAATTCAATATTATGGTACCATTGAGCTGGATGGAGTCTGGAGGTGGCCATAGGAACTCTTAACGAAACGGTGGAATTGCATCTAGTTTGGGTTCGTTGGACTTGTCTTTTCGAGCACTTTAGTGCTAGATGATGTCCAGGGTCCTGATGATGGCAGGCAGACAGGCTTGTTTGGTTTATAACCGACTTCATACAGCTATAGGGCCACAAATAGAGGCCGAACTCTTACAGACAGAGTAAGTAAACAGCTTGTTTAAAGAACCGAGACCGCGTATTGACTTAATTAAGTTGGCTTGTTAAAGTGGCAGTATGTTTATTGGGTTGCATTTGCAATACTTAATTGGCAATTTTAGTATTTGCAGCCAGATTAGAGAGGCGACAGGAAGGTGCCGCGCGGTCGCGGCGCCCTGCGCGCGAGTTCCGTTCGCTTGCGCAACGCCTGTCGCGAATCGAAGGACTTCCGCACACATTTGCGGCTAAGTGAGTGGAAAATCACACCAACCGCACCTAAATTGCCAGTTTTTATTTGATACGAAAGTTATTATGACACAAAATTTTTATCTAATCATTCTAAAAGTAGATTACCTACTTACTGTTTACTTTTCTCACCTACATTGCAAAAACGTGTAAAACATTCGAGAATAGATCAACCCAAATATTGGTTACGATTTTTCCAAATTAACCAAAATAAGTTACTGCAAAGCCGCGGTCTCCTGTCGTAACTGGCTAATGAGTGTGAATCACTAGCCGCAACCACAAACTTTTGTAAACAAAGAATTTCGACAGCGGAACGTATTTGTAAACGATCTCATTGCCACTGTGCTTCACTTAACTCACGAGTTTATAACATTATTTTGATTAGGATCTATAATTAGGGTATGGTTTATCGAGCGGAACCCATACAAGTGTATGTGTGGCTTATGTCTGATTTGGTAACCTTAAGTTTCAGTTAAATGTCTTCCTGCAAGGAAAGAACTGAGTACCAGGTTAAAACATTGTCTGTCAGTGCATCAGTAATTCTAATATACATATAGTCACGGCATAAAATCATGCAGTAAGCAGCGATATCTGCGTCCAATCCAACTTTCCTTTGATTTCAATATCAGCTTGATAATTAAGGTATCAAAATACTTACGGCGAAACAGGATAATGCCTTCCTGCGCGTTGTATCCCGTAAGGAAAGGCACGTCAGCTCCAGGCAGGGAGTCCCGTGGCGAGGCCGTGAGGAAAGCGTCGGGACCTTCGGGCTCCAGCGTGGGCAGGAACGGCAGGGCCACGGTGCTCTTGAGGTCGGCATTCTTGCCCGGCATCCCGGCGAGGCGCGCGCCTGCCTTCACTATGAGCTCGCTGGGAGTTGCGCGAAGGTAACCTTGATAATGAGAATGGAATCTTTAGTATTTGTGTTCTAATTAAATATCTCTGCCAGAACCACACGGCTTCCCATGAGTGACATTGACGTAAGAAACAACTATGTAAGGGAGAAATATGCAAGCATCAGGCATCCCCAACACGTGTGAACACACATGATTAGCGTGTAGGCTAAAACCTTAATTTGGAAATTGAAAACGGTCGATTGTAGACTAATGACCTGTTGATGAAATGACTTTAGGATTCAAAAGCTGCGGCGGCACTTCACTATTTTAGCGCTCTATCAGAGTTTTAAATAGGAATTCAAGACATTTTTCTAATAAGTTTAGTACACTGCTGTGTTTCTACTTGCCCAGCAGCTCAGCGGTGTTGTTGGTGACGATGCCGAGCTCCTTGCCGAGCTCGAAGGCGCGTGCGCGTGCGCCGCTGGCCAGCGCCCACGGGGACAGAGCCAGCCCACTCTGAGCTATGGCTCCGTGGAAGAGACCCTAGAGACATTCACTTGATATTAATATTCATAGGCTGGGTTGCACCATCTTACTTTAACTTTGACAAACGTCTAAAATCTGTCAAATTCCATACAAAAAACGCCGGTTATCGTTAAAGTTACAGTCAGGATTCCGTGGAGGGTAGTTGAACGGGAAGCATAGTCGATCTGTTTTAATGGTTTCAATTTATTATTTAATGGACTTAAGTGTACAAATTTGGTGTTATTTTTTGTTCTAAAGTGCAGTGAAGTGATTTGTAAATTATAAAAAAAACATTGAAACACTTCGAATTTGAGCGCGCATCGAGTGTCGAGTGGGTTGTCGTATATGAACAACCTGCTTTGGACCCGGTGGCGTCTTGAAACCTGCTTACGGGCATATTTTTAAGTCCACGGAATCCATGAAAAATCAATAGAACTGAAACACCCACGTTCTGTTGATAAATTATATCAATTTTTCACTCGAAATTGGCAGAAATAAACCTCCCCGAGAGGTTTGGTTGCCACTAAATAAAAAAATTAAAAAAAAGTTACGTTCAAAGTAAGGTGGTGCAACTCAGCCATAAATGTGTAAAGTAATATTCATAAATTTAAAGCAAGTGTAGGCCAAATTCTCCTGATGCCTCTTGAAAATTTGATTAGTAGAGGGATAAAATGACTTGATGATGATGATGCAGCAAGTATGAAGCAGCTTAAGATGACTTCAACATTAATTATTGTTAAGAGACTACGATTCATAACAAAACCGGTTTTAAGTCAATAAACTATACCTACTTCAAATGTCATTCAAGAAATGTTCCTATTGTAAAATCGTGGGTACTAAAATGCACGCAGGCAGTCCTACGTCAGTAGTTATTTTTCAATTTTATTCGTAGGTAATTGGTATTGCAGATACCTTTATGTTTGATTTTTATGTTGACGTGAAGTACCTACCTACTACACAATAAAATTTCATCGATTACTGTGATGAAATCTAATAGTTAAAGGTAACGTAAAGGTCACATATACAAAAAATGTTGTTGCAATTTTTCTCGTGCATTGTGTTTGCATAGCTAACTCGTAATGTTGAGCAATAGCACACGTATCTTAAAATTAATTTCTTAATATTTGACATTTCTTCTCCATGTTTAATCTAAAGGATCTAGCGATAAGACCGCCTATTTAATTTGTATAGTTTCGTTTTTGTACTTTTGTTCTGTGTGGTGTTATTGCAAAACAGAGAAGTATATTCTGTCTACTGAAACCGTCTAAAAATTTAAAACTAAGTAACTAGATGCTTACCTCAGAAGCTTTGGATAGCATGTGAAGATGGACGGACGCGGCACCAGCTGACTCTCCAAATATCGTCACTCGCGAGGGATCTCCCCCGAAAGCCTCAATGTTGTCTCGAACCCATTTCAGGGCCATCACTTGGTCCTGTACAAATAAAAGATTCTAAATGACTACGACAAACGATCGGTCAATATTTTTTCCAGTTTCAACTTGATTTGTAGAAACTCTAGGTCTACGATTTTAAACATCAATAATATTCCTTTTAAGTTCTTCATCGACTTTTGGCCTATAAGTATATAAGTTTTTAAATAATATGATTTAAATATTACAGATTAAACTTTACACACTGTACTATGTATTCAAAGAACTTATTATTAGTGAAATTGATGTAAATCTCTCCATTCATGTGCTTTACGTAACGATATCATAATATTATTAACTCGGAAAATAACAACAAAGAAAAAGAAAATACATAACAAATATTAAAATGTATTATGCAAAATAGAAAGACAATTGGCATCTTTGACGAGTGGTGTAACGTGTTTGTGGAACAAGTGTGTCAGCAGCTCTGCAAACCCAAATTGTGATGGAAATGAGGCTAGTTTTGTATCAATTTTACGCCTGTAATTTTACGACTGAGCAACACACCTTTGAGCATTGAGTAATAGTACCTAATTCATAAGAAAATGTTTAGTATTGAATATAAACTCTTATTATCTTCGCACCTAGCGCCCATTTAAGATAATTGGTTACACACAACAGTTACACACTCTACAAAATGGTTACATGAAAACAGTGTTACGAATTATTCCCTACACGCGTTACGACTACATATTTGCCCTCCTTTTAGATCTATCATGTAGAGTTGTTTATAAAATAATTGATTAACTGCTTTAATGAGTGACTAGTCTATTCTAATAAAAACAAAAAACCATCACTAAAACAAAAGAAAAAGCTCAAAAATTGTTAAAAACTGTTAACTTATTGAAGTTTATATGAAAGTTTTAGTATATGAAATTCTCACCTTGAGTCCCATGTTCCCTGGCACCTCATCATTCTCCAGGCTGAGGAAGCCAAGGGCACCGAGCCGGTAGTTGAGCGTGACCAGCACTACTCCAGCACTGACGAGGTGGTCGGGCCCGTACAGGAATGCGTTGCCGGATCCCATCGTGAACGCGCCCCCGTGGATCCACACCATCACTGCTAGCTTTGGATTGTATCTGGCGTATGGTTTAAAAAAGAACTTAATCAGCAGACCTAGTAGACTTTAGGACCAGCAGTGTACCCGGCAACCGATCCACGAAAACCTTTAGAACTTTGTTTTTTTATCTTAGAGCTTGAAAGCACAAAATAAGCACCTGCTTGTTTGACCTAATTTACACAGATCACAGAATGCTAATTTAAATTGACATTACATTTCGATATGAGATATTAATTTTGAGTTTCAAGTAATATTTCATTATTTGTGGTTGCATGATGGACAAAAAAGTCAGAATCAGGGGTCTGTGTATTTACCCGGTGAGCTTATCAGGCAGAGCCGGCGAGTACACGTTCAGGAACAGGCAGTCTTCATCTCCCTTGTATGTGTCGAAGAGCATGAAGCGGTGAGGACACACAGCGCCCTCCTCCAAGGCGTCGCGGACTCCCGACCATGGTTCCAGCGGCGCGGGCGCACGGAACCTCAACGCCCCTCGTGGAGGCTGCGCGTATCTGTGAGGATATTTCATAGTGCACTCTCTCTCTCTCTCTCTTTCAATATATCTATTTAGAGTCTGTATTGACTGAATTACTATTGATTTTAGACCTTGACAATAAAGAAGTTTGTTTGTTTCAAGTCTAGTGCTGGACAAAAGCTACCCCCCAATAGATATCTACAACGAGTGTACCCGCATTGCTCGCATTCAGGTGCTTCCTGCGTCCTTCACCAGATAGTCAGTCTGTGTATTATCGTAGGTAAGTACGTCATCCTTCCATGGTCGCCACTCGAGAATTTTTCTACTCCAATGACTGATTAGTTCTATGAGCTAATATTTTTTTTAATACCAGGCTCCATACTTAGAGGTCTACTTGCTGCGTTTGGAAAAGCTAAATCAGATGCTTGTAACTATTAGATGTGATAGCTTGTTTAGTCACGCAAGCGTCAGCGACCAGCGTGGACATTGCAATAATAAACTAGAAAGTTTCACTAAGAGCACTGAGCTATTGAATATAATGTGATAAGATGCTGTATCTAATTCAGTTTCGTTTGCAGACATTTGGTCAGTATTTGCGGTTTACACTATTTGGTTTCGTGATCTCATTCTCACAGACAAAGTAGGTACCTAACTAGTATTGCGATAGTACTTTACATCTTTGTAAATATTTAGTTAAAATCTCAATTTTAGATTTGATTTGAATGATGCTCAGTCATGGTGAATTAGCGGTAATTACAAACTGTTTACTCTACGGAACAATTTTGTTGAAACTATGGCACAAGATTATTTCAGTGTAATTCCGCCTTTTACTTTTAGAGCCTCGAAATTTCAAGGTTTGAAGGTCGGTATGGTCTATGATTTTTCGAAGTCATTCAAGATCTTCAAAGTATTTCGGTAAATCAAGATTTAATCATTACTCTACCACTTTGATAACGATCATATTGCGTATTTTGCAATTTGTTCCGTTAAAATCACCAGTTCATGTACCAGAGTTACCATTTAATTATAGGCTCCACTATAAGGTTTAAAGATTCTTTATTTCTCAATAAAAACATAATTGTCACTTACTTGAGAACAAAATTAAACTAAGTATAATTTACATTTGAATCGTTCGCACCGATATGTTTTATAAAAAGCATTGGCTTTAGCAAATTATACCATCTGATTGGCGATAAAAAGTAAATCAGTATAATATAGGTTCAAAACAAAATTAAATATAATTTTCTAAATTGTAAATATTAGTTTTAGACATTAAATTTAATAAGTAAGGCTCATTCTACAACGTCATGAATATGTAGGGCAAGTTTCTTTTTAAAAATATTTAGGGAGTCAATGCCTTTTATTGATGCGGGTAGTTTATTAAACAACTGTGCTCCCTCAAAGTTAAGCATTCGCTTGCCGTAATTTGTGCGTATCTTGGGTAGAACCAAATAGCTAGCGCGACGGCGCACAGTGGTCTGAAAATGAAGCTCCCATACCATAGAAACTTAATGTCAGAAATTAATAAATAAAAATATGTATTGTGTTTAGTACACCTCCCTTTGTTTTACTAATANATATTACAAGCTTTTTATTACTTTCACATGTCTGGTGTCTGTCGTCAAATCTTGCAACTTAAAATTGACCCACTTCCCGGTTTCCTATTGAGCTGAAATTTTGCATACATGTGTAAGTCCGATGACAATGCAATATTATGGTACCATTGAGCTGGTCTGATGATGGAGTCGGGAGGTGGCCATAGGAACTCCTAAACAAAACGGCGGAAACTCATCGAGTTTGGGTTCGTTGGATTTGTCTTTTCGAGCACTTTAGTGTTAGATAACGTCCAGGGTCCTGAGATTAATATATAACTAAAAAGTGTAAAATAAAATTATAATAAAAATAAACTTTTTTAAAAACAAGCTTTTATTCTGAATTTCGAAAGCTTGTAGCGCAAACAGAGAAAAAGAGGAATAAATTCCATGCGCGATACAAACTTTCGAAATTCAGAATAAAAGCTTGTTTTTAAAAAAGTTTATTTTTATTATTTTGATTTTCTTTTTACCCGATCGAGTAGACTGCGCTACCTAACAGCCGTGACGTCACATCGACGCTCTAGTACGGGGCGAACGCGGGGAGGTGTGCGGGTGAGTGCGAGGAAGAGTCGCATTCCAACGAGGTGCGCATTTAGCTCTATCGGGTTACATTTTTTCAGCGCTTTTAAATAAGGGTTTAACATTTATCCATTAAGGGTTTAAAGGATCCCTGTTATCTGAAATAAATACTTTTTATTTTATTTTATTTTATTTATTTTAAGCCTCCCACATGCTCACAAACACATGAGAAATGTACGCTCTCACAAGTTCCAAGGATACTAGACCCATGACCATTTATCCCCAAAAAGTTATCATATTTATCATTTGAGACAGTTTCGTCAGCAGTGTTAAACAGTAGGTGGGGTTTTAAAAATGAAAAATGTTTACTGCCTAAAGAGTTATTTATAAATTGTTTAAAATTAACAAAACCTGCTATCACGCAGGCATTATTTCGAAGTTGAGAATAAGCCTTTGATTTTATCAATGAAACCAGTTTTCCCAGTAAGGCACTTCCAAGGTTTTTTCATCATTGCCTTGATTACATTTAAATTAATATGATTTACTAAGAATTAACTCGCTCACCATTTATTATGTTTACAAGAAACCTAGAGTAATTCGTGAAATTTAAAATGTATTGCTCTTTTTGCATTATACCCGTTTTATTAAAGTAATGAACACTGAAGAAGTTATGACGAAAAAGCTCAGTCATATGCTTTATGAAGTTAGTTAATGCCGAAGTTAATTAATATGGAAGGTAATTACTGGAACCTGTGCAAATTTCTTCTTATTTGGTTTGCTCATTTTCGCGTGAAGATTTCCAGGTAGAGCCACAGCACACATGCTCCTTTTAACGTCTGCGATCGGCGATTTATTCGCTATTTATGAGTAGAAGCTGAATGCAGCAACCACACATTTCAGACACTTGAAATCGTCAATTAAGGCGATTAAGGCACTTTTCGACAGCAGTCGCTAAAACGCTTGAAACACCAAACGCGGCGATTGAGGCGCTTTTCAGAAGTTCGACAGCAGTCGCTAAAACGCGCGATTCCGATATTGCGTCTGACTGAACGCATGAAGTCGCGAAATCACGCTGCTGCATTGATAGAGTCGCCCGCGTGATCCCATAACGCGTCCGATCGCATGAAGTCGCGAAATCGCGCTGCTGCATCGATAGAGTCGCTAAAACGCGCGATTCCGATATTGCGTCTGACTGAACGCATGAAGTCGCAAAATCGCGCTGCTGCATCGATAGTCGCTAAAACGCGCGATTCCGTCAGAACACATGAAGTCGCAAAATCGCGCCGCCTGTATCGATAGAGTCGCTAAAACGTACGATTCTGTTACCGTGTCCGAACGCATGGAGTCGCAAAATCGCGCCGCTGCATCGATAGAGTCGGAAAATCGCCGACACTAAACGTATCATGTCTGCTGTGGCCCATACCGGTCACTGACCCCTGCGTAACAGAATTTGAACTCTGTGACCTCATGCACTGGCGACACCTGCCGGAAATGTTGACTTCAGCAATTTTCAGGCATTTTGATGACATGAAAACAATTATTTTCTTTTGAAATTTTAATACCTGGTTGTATTTTTCAATTCACATTAAACTTTTCAATTGTGAATAGTAAATACATTACCTTTATGGGGCACGTTAACGTGAAGTAGATGGTTTAGAATTGAATAGAATAGAAAAACCTTTATTTGACACGAAGACACAAATTAAAATTAACAAATAAAAGAAGAGAAAAAAAAAAGAAAAAAAAATCTTAGTATAGCCTGACCAGGAACATAAAAACCCTGGCATAGAGGCGCGTTAATTGCATTTGATAGTGCAACACTGAGTACAGTCGTACCTGTTTTAAATTAATAGGCTAACTTTATGTATCAGGCAGGATTCAGGATTACGGGCTAATTTGATATTTTCATAAATTAACGAAAAAATATTATTATAGGTAACCTGGTTTAAATAAATTAAATGAAACCATCAATCGAGCTAGTAGGTTTTATTTTATTATTTATCAATAACCAAATTCAGAAATTGAATATTAAACTGCAATGTCTGCTCATGAACGCTTCAAACTCGGTACTTCTTTCCCAATTCCATAAAATTCAACACTTAGAAAGTGACAAAAAAATTTAAAATAGGTAGTTGAAACAAACCATAGCTAATTTTCATAGTGGACTGTACTATACGATAAACATGTCAGTCAATTTGACAACCTTTGTCGGAAACATTATTTAATGAAAATATTGTCCGAACCCTTAGTATTTCTCTTCGACAAATACTTTAACACATTGTGAACCACTTTTCTTTCACGACTATAAAAAGATTTTAGCAATTTAATTCACAAAATCAATTGCGCACATTTAAAATAAAGTTTGTTTACACTTTGACAGCAATAGACTGACATGCAAGGTGACATATCAATGAAGTTTTTGCCATTAAGGGCCGATTTTTCAATCGTCAGACATCTTTTATCTGAAGAATAAACTTGTCATTTTGACATATTTCTCATACTAAAACTGTCAATGTGCCAAACTTCTTCTTCAGTTAAAAGTTATCCGATGATTGAAAAATCAGCCCTAAAAGAAATTAGTACCATTAGTTTTCCGCAACATGGCGAGGGTTTTTAAATTCCTGGTCAGGCTATAGTTAGTTTCAACCTTAATTTAAGATTTATGACGAAACGTCTCAGAAGGAAAATTTATGAAAAATGGTCTATTTAAAATACATTTTAATAGCTCTGAAATTCAATTTAATCTGTTTTTCAGAACTATTTTGTATTTACGTGAGTAGAGTGTGAACTCCAGTCTTACCATGCTTCAATCAGTAATTTTTAACCGACTTTAAAAAAGGACGAGGTTATATTATGTTCGGCTGTATGTATGTTTTTTTTTGCAAACGATTTTAAGGGTAATTACGAGTCTATAACTTCAGTATCTTGCAAAATTATTGT